AAACGAAGATGGAGAAAGAACAGATGGGTATGAAAAATTGCTAAACGTTTGCGTATGAAAAATTTTTTATTGAAAAATGTTCTTTCACGCTACAACGTCAGTATACCTTCGTCTATTTAACGTTATAACAGTACAAAAATTGCATTTTTTTACAAGTTATCCAGCTTACGTGACTAAAATATCCCAGTTAGCAATCTGACAATTCAAAAATTACGTCTCCTAATAATCAACAGAAGGCGCCGTGTATTAGCAGAGGCATTCTTTGGCCAAAACGCAACACATATACCAGTCTCAAATGGAATTCATTTCCTTCTTCGGCAAATCAACGGATCAAAAAATCCCGTATCTACGATGCATCTCTATCATCAATAACCACGAATTCTATCTATCTCTATCTCTTTCTCTCTCTCTCTCTCTCTCTCTCTTAATATCATAGTAAATCGGTGTTTTTCTTTATTTCGGTTCGCTAAACATCATCCGGATCGATCGATCGATCTCATTCAACTCGCTACACGCACGCATGAACACTCGTATTCTATTTATTTTCTTTTTTTTTTCCTTTTTTTTACTCTTTCTTGCGAATCTAAAACGAAAAACAGAGAGAATTCAAGATGCAGACAGCTACGACGGAAAGCAGTGAGAACAGAGAAAAGAGAAGCATGAGTGGCGGGGGGAAGAGAGGAAGGGTGTTTCGAACCGTAACAAACGACTGAATCGAACTTAAGACGCACTGCTACAGCAAGAGACCTCGAAAAAAATTTCGCGGTGTAAACTTTCTCGTTCGTTCGTTAAAATGCTGTCGCGTCATTCGCCGGCCAAAGCATACCTTGAAGAAAAAAAAAAAAGAACAAAAGGAAAGAGAGCTGAAACCCTCGTCGTAACACGAGAAAGTCGCGTGAATTACACACAGTTCGTCTTTTTCTCTTTCTCTCTCTCTCTCTCTCTCACTCACTCTCACTCTGTCTATACTTTTCAGCTGCTTCTGTTTCTCTCGCGAACGTATTTTCAAAAGCTCATCTTCCTTGTTTCGTGCCTAACAATATACTCATATCGAAGCAAATCTCAGTCAACGGTCGCTTGTTGCTACCTGGGCTATCGTCAATGACGCTCTGTTTCGGCCGGAAACTTGCTCCTCTCCTTCTCTTCCCCCCTGGTCGCGACACACAGACACAGACACACACATACACAAACACACACGCCCCCTTGGTGAATATTTCTTCTCTCACGCTTCGCTGTTTCTTTTTTTTTTTTTTTTCTGCTCTCACATTTCTCAACTACACACGCCACGCGCAAGTATCCGGCCAAAGAGAACAATCCTGTGCTCGCACAGCGTTCGAATAACTCGCTTGTCGGTACAAGAGATCTCGCCTTTTCTCGTAAGCGGATTGAAAAGCAAACGCAACGCATGGATAAGTGCGACTTCTATTAATATATTTGACGAACTGTCTGCGCAGCCAGTCGTTTTTCCTTGCCGATTGAAATTGCCGGAGCATCTCCACCATCGATGCACAGGTTTTCCTTTTTTGGAAAAATATTTTTTTGACAGTGCGCTTTGCCACGTGTTTCGTATAACAGTGACAAAGCTGGTTTTGTTTTGTAGAGGTTGGAAATATTTCGCGAACGAAAAGAAATACAGTGTACTCGAGACGAACTTGAAAACTGAAACTTGAACATCCAAGGGCATCTTACATATTCTGACGGGAGTCGAACCAAATTTGTTTTAAACAAGTTAAATTTAACTAAGTTCTTGGACTAATTCGAAAAAAAAGTTGGATTCTCTTGGTTTTTGAAATTTGATTGGAATAATACCAATTACGCTACACTTTTGAGACATCCTATCTGGCATACAGTTTGTGACGAAATATTTCAGAATTTATATTATCGATTATACTATCGGATGAAAAAAAAAAAAAGAAAAAAAACAAAGAAAATTTCAGTTTCGAAGTGGTAGATGTCCATCTTAATTATCTTTGAAATGTGTTCTACTACAAAATCAACAGTAACATATAATGATTTAAAGTATAAAAATTAAAAAAATAACAGTGTATAGTAATTTGGAGTGACCAAGATTAGTTAAAAAAATTAATATTACAACATATATATAATTCGAATTATACGATGTGAAAGCAAGATACTCATTTTCTTCCATCAAGTAACTTACGAAACTTCGTAAATTAATATTACAATATATATAATTCGAACTAATATTATTATTAACATATATAATTCGAAAAAATTAATATTACGACATATATAATTCGAATTATACTCAGTTTTTTCCCATCAAGTACACGCTGTTCATACTAAACTTACGAAACTCCGTAAATTAATATTGCAATATATATAATTCGAACTATCATTATTAATATATGTAATTCGAAAAAAATTAATATTACGACATATATAATTCGAATTATACTCAGTTTTTTCCCCATCAAGTACACGCTGTGCAGACTAAACTTACGAAACTTTGTAAATTAATATTAATATTATTATTAATATATACAATTCGAAAAATTAATATTGCGATATATATAATTCGAATTATACTCAGTTTTTTCCCCATCAAGTACACGCTGTCCATACTAAACTTCGTAACACCAAGAAATTATTTTTCAAAAAAGAGAAGAAGATATCGGCATGGAATTTCCCCGGAATTTCAACGGTAAGAACAAAAAATCTAACATCGTATCTTATCCATTCGATGCCCGATCGCGGGTCACAATAATAAGCTGTGTTTCTGCCGAAAGCCTACCAAAAATGCCATTGCATCCGTTCTCCACGACTAAACGAGGAAAATTCGTGCGTATTCCACGACGAAACAGTGGACTCGACACGTATACAACAGCAGCGTAAGTACTGTAAAGCACGACGTTTCCTCCTCCGCGATATTTACGATCACCCCACCTGCTGCGTTAGGGTCCGGCACGGACAATGATGGCGCTGCGCGACGTCGACAGACATTTAAATTTGCAACCTCAACTGTTGGTTCGTTCGCTAAATTCTGAATCTGCATGAACACGCGACCCTGTGCGTTGGAAACTGCGAGATCGCACGAGAAAAAAAAAATCGCGTCGTTTGTCAGCGCCGGACCTTTGTAAAAACGAACATTTGCAGTTTGTCGAAAACAGAAACACACGCAAACACACAGGACCGTGTGTTTTGACAGACGTGTATCTAGGATCTCTTTCTAGTTTTCTCAGTTCCGTTCGTTCGTCGATCTTTGGCAGAATCACGCTTTCGTTTTCATCATCACAATTTTACCTCTTTGTTTCCTGTTTCTCTTTTTCTCTCTCTCTCTCTCTCTCTCTCGCTCTCTCTCTACTTCTTCACCCCAACGCATCGTGCACGCTCGCTCTCTCGACACGGATAATATCTCTGCGTTATTTTCTTAGCTAGTTTTTTTTCAGGTCCTGCCCTCTTTTTTTTTTTTTTTTTTTTTTAAATCGATCACGTTTTTATTTAAGATACTGCGTTTCAGTACGAAATAATAAATCCTACGTTGAACGAGTTTCCTGAAATCGTTTGGAAGCAGTCTTTCAGCATTATTTTTTTTTTTTCTTTCGCATGCGTTGCATGCGAAAATCATTATACATTCTTCTCTCTCTCTCTCTCTCTCTCTCTCTCTCTCTCTCTCTCTCTCTCTCTCTCTCTCTCTCTCTGTTCGTTTTTCCTTTCCCTTTTCTCCCTTCGTCTTCGTTCTCTCTCTCTCTCTCTTTTTTTATTCTTTTTTTTTTAGTTTTTTCCATTTTTTGCTTTCTAAATCGCGCGTGCTCGCCTTCGCTCTCTTCCTCTCACCGTTTCTTCGCGCAATTATTACGTACAAATAATATCTATACACATTTAAAACTGGTAGAAATTAGAAATTGTATTCTTGTTTGACTAGCTTTTGACCGTCTCTCTTGAAAAAAAAAAAAAAAGAATCATTAACACGCCGACTGTGTCGTTGTCTTTCTCTCTGTCTTGTGTATGATACGCCTTTCTCTGGGATTCTAGTCGAATATTATACGCAGTGTTTCTTTCTTCGTGTACACGAGTAATTATGCATGCATACGTACATGTACGTGTGTGTATGTGTGTATATATATATATATGTGTGTGTTTGTGTAACTCTGAGGACGTAAACTCGTATGAAAAATTAATTCCTTCTCTAATTTGTTTCCCTTTTCCACGCGATTACAGAAAGGGAGGGGGTAAAGAGTATGTGTGTGGGGGGAGGGGGGCAAAATATCGTATCGGTTGATCGGTTTGTCTAATCTGTTAAACCGTGCAGACGATTCCTCTCGTTCTCGAACAGGCTAACTAATTATTAATCGAGAAATCACCGCGCGCCATTATGTAGATTCATGATCCTAGTAAGAGTATGATCGTTAGAATAAGTCGTTATACAACCTATGTATATAGCTAGCAAATTACTCTCTCGTTAACTCGATATAATAATGCTCTCACACGCACGCGCACATACATGCATCCGGCCGCACTTTCATCCAAGTTTTCTCTTCATCTCTCGCTCTCTCTCTCTCTCTCTTTCTCTCGCGCTTCGTTCCCTAATTCTTAATATTTTGACAGGTTTCTCCTTTCCGCAGTCTTCCAATTGTTTTCATTCACGCGGCCGTGCAGCTGTCGTTCGAGAATTAAACGAATGCAAAAACGTCCGAAATTCACCGCACGGCTCACGGCGCGTGAATTGTTCAGTCTTTCGTTTATATATTTATTTTTCTTTTTTTTTCTTTTTTTTTTCTTTTTTTTTCATCTTTTCTTTTTATTTGCTTGCTCGTCTCGCGTATTATATATTCGATACGTTATATCAGTTGTCGCTAATACTATTTATATTCAGTTATTAAATTTAACTTTGCCCTTGCATTTTTTCACGTTGTTCTTTCTCTCTCTCTCTCTCTCTTTCTCCATCCATCATTATCATCATCCCTCTGATCTTTCTTCTTTCCATTCTTGTTGCACGAAAAATATTATGCTACGGTTTCCTTTTTTTTTTTCCTTCCTTCATTCGCGACGTAATTACGTTTAAAGTGCTAATAGGTGCATATTTATAGAGTAGTATGATGTACGCTTATAATTTAAAGCCACAGATTTCGATGTCACATCACGAATGCATGATGCAAACTCCTCTCGTCAGTTCTCACGTTCCTCGATGCGTTTCGCTATATACGTGTATTGTTTAATTATTTAGTCTTATGTATCCTTCTGAACGCGAGACATACACCCTTTTAAGGCCTTTGAAAATCCGTTTATTTATTTATTAATAACCTTCTCGCTTTCTTCTTCCATGTCTCTTGGATTCGTCTCTCTTTCTCTTCCTCGTTAAACTCTTTTTTTATACTCTTCCTTTTCTACTTGTCAACCACGACTTTCACAGAGGAGACACGTATCTCTCTCTCCCTCTTTACTTTTACCTGGTCGTACAAGAGCGTAAAGAATCGCGAGATCTGTGCGCAAACTGCAAAGCATACACACCGCTACATTTGGTTTTTCGTTTTCTTTTTTTCGATATTTTTTTCCCCCAACGCTTCAGCGATAGCGAAGGCGAATTCAAAACGTGTACAGTAGCGATGTCGCTCCGTCCCTTCATCATTTTCATTCCTCTCAACGCATGTAACATTGTATAGCATTGTGTGTCGAATCTTCTTGCTTTTAAATATGGTTTCCCTTTCTTTGTTTCTTTCTTTTCTCTCTAAGGAGAATTACATGGTAATATATAGTACGGCGATAGTGGAGAGAGTATAATAGTAGTATTAGCAGTACTCATAACAGTAAGAGTAGTTGTGAGGGGCTACTTGTAATAGAGAAGTGATAATAGTAATAGCATAGCTGATAGATGATAGTAGAAATAGCCGTAACGATAGGAGAATAAAAATAGCAACAGCATGAAAGCATATCAATAATGGTGTTAGTTAGTCACCCGGAGAAATAGTGGTTAACAGCAGTGATAATAAGAGTTTACACAGCAGTAAATGTAAGTGTACTAACTATAATAATAATGATAATAATAATATGACAAGCAGTAAAGACAGTGATGAACATGATGACAATGACTGTGTGGCGAATAGATATCGATCAGAATAATAATAATAATAATAAGTGATAACAACAGAAGATAAAGTAAAGAGCAATAGCGGCGGTGGATAAGAGAGAATGGAGAGATAATTATCCTAGCAGTAAATGTTAAAAAGAAGTAAAATCAGTCAATTCGTTAAAATGAATTACATTACATTAGTATATAATGTGTCCTGGCGCTTAAAATCAGACAAATTCCATTTCCCGAAATGGATAACACACGAAAATAATAATATTGCAAACATCGCACAATTAATGTGGTGTACCTTTTTCGTCCCTCTTTTTTTTTTTCATTTTAATATATGTTACTTTTTTTTTCCTTTTTTTAATCCGCTTCCCATAAAATTCTATCATACGTGTATACATATATATTCTTTATATAATACATTTATATAGATGCAGCAATAGTCAAGGAAAGAATCTATCTTTCTAATAGCATTTGGCTTGCCAAATTCTGTCAGTTTCAATTAAATAGTACAATTGCATCGAATATAATAAAAAATATCTTTTTTTTTTTAATTTCCTTCGCACGTCGCTCTGACATCGCAAAACTGAGTTTTGTTTTGTGTAATGTCTCAAATGTTGGACATTTCATTTGGTAGGGCTATTAAAGCGTGAAAATGTGTGCACATTTCGTGCAACTTGTCAGCACTATCATTGCTGTCTTCATACTCGCAAGATATACGGACATCAGTCTTGCCTTCGAATTTGAAAGAACGGAGCTCGGACACGTATATCGTTTTATAATTTTTTTTGTTTTTTTTTTTTGTTTTTTTTTTTTTGTTTCTTAACAGGACTTACTGCGTAGATCCAGTCAAAGAATAAAACGGAGAATTTATTAGGCCTCGCCGAAACCACCAATTGCTTGTTCCGTCATTCTTAAACAAAGAGATTCGAGGCGAGAGTTGATTTCTGGCTCCGTTGTCTCGGACGCGTTGTTGCTACCAGGGCTAAGAAAATGATCCCTCGGTGCACTGTATGTACGCTGCAACGTTCTTTGCAATTGCTGAAACGTGAACAGAGATTAGTTTTCACGTGACAGAGTGTGTATATTCAAATGCACGCTTGAATTTAACAAAATACGCACCTGTAAACTAGATTCTTGTAAGCTAGGTCGTTTTTTGGTCGTGTGGACTGGACGCAAAGTATTCTGATTTACGCTTTGGTTCTGATTATTTTGTAAGTATGGTGTAGATATACTATTTCTGTGAGTGCTAACCACAAAAGAGTTGTTTTGCGAATGTGTATTATGAATGTGTCCTAAGTTTAAACTTGGTTTTCTATTGTGCTGCTGCGGATTACAGTACCTTCTGTTGTTGTAGCCGTAATTGTGTTGCCACCTGAAATTTTAATCGCATGTACAATCACATGTTCAGATATTGCAAATGAAAAATGCACGATACTTGTTATTTTTATTCTTACTTTGGAGTTGGTCGTGGATTTCCAAGTCTACTGCGCCACTGTTGCACCTTCTCCTTTTGATTTGGAGTAAAACAATCGTGTTGCAATACTTTTTCCAATATGTTAATGCAAGCGCATAAAATACCATCGTCCACACTATCCAATGCCAATCGACTACACACTACAAAACAAATAAACACAATATGTATTAAATATACACTGTTGAAAATTTGCAATGTTCTGTATCATTAATTTTAAATGTATGACTTGGAAAAAATTGTGCATTTAAGGATTGAATTTTGTATCTTGCTACGTGTGTATATCATATATTTATATTAATAATTACGCAATGCTTACATTTGCCAAGAACCTTAGTGAATTGTGCAGGTATGTCTTGAGGATCATTCTCTTGGCTAGGTTTCATAGGAGTAGCTAGAATAGTTTTCAATTCGTCAACTGTATTGACCAATACTGTTGGTCCTTGTAAAAATGAAGCAGATTGTGTATTATCGCGCGTTGGTTGTAACAAGTCTTTCTCTAAGTTTAAAAGTGTGGTATAACGTTGCTGTAACTTTGCAATAGAAAGGGCTAGTTTATGTCTGGCTCCTTTTGTCACACCCTGTTCTGCTAATTGTTCCTCAGTCAATTGAAGCATTTCTTCGTAACTGAGAGTGACAAATAGATAACTATATTTGTGAAGACGTAAAGTTTTAAGCCATGACGGAACATCTGAAAGATAAACAACATGTCAAGAATCTTTTCCTTGATCGATAACTGTACATTTACAAAATTATGTACGCGTACCTCTCATACCACTAGCAAGCGACCGATTAGACGTTTCGTCTAAACGCCCTTCGCTGCCGCTACTTGCGCAAGAACTTTGAGGACTCAGTGGGCCTAATCCAATAAGATTGCCTGTTTAGAAATCAACAATTATTCAAATAAATAGAAATATAATTAACATTCGCTTGTTTACATGATAGCATTGAATTAAACTAACTTGTATGATCACCAGATACGCTGAAGCTTCGTGGTTTATGTTTAGTTGTGCAATTTACGTTATTAGTGCGATCAACAACTTCTAAATGATGAGGCGGAGCAACGGGTGGTGTTAAGCTGTTTGATCGCCGTTGACGAGTCACAGGTGGTGGAAATTGCAAATTGAAGGCAGTGCCTGGTTGTGTGCCAAACAAAGTTGTCTGTTCACTTTGCTGTTTAGAATTTCGCTGCCATGTATTATCCCATCTGAAATAAAAGTAAGTGAAATTAATAATTATAGTAAATACATAAATTATGCAAGTGTTTCTACCTCACCTAATAGTAGTATTAGTATATTCCTCGAGACTGTGTATTGGTGGTGTACCACTGATACGCTCTTCAAGATGTCGAAGCCACTGAGTCAAAGAACGTCTATCTTGACTAGTTATAGCTGGATGAATTAAACAATAACTTAAGAGTTGTTGAGTTTGTTCGGTGTATTGCCCTGTAGTTACACAGTGGCTTACTAATTCTGGTATCGCCACCAAGTAGCATTGTTTGCACTCTATGTTCCCAGGCTTTAACAATGGCAAGTGCGTTAGAAGTTGATTTATAGCAACTTCTGTCGATTCTGAGAGCAGTGAGTTGATAAATGCTGTAACAAGATTGTTCGATAAATATTATTTGCATTCATGAAAGTGTAGTAAGTTTATTTGTATTAATTATAAAAATTACATGGATTATTAGCATTTAATTCCTGTGAGTCCAATTCAGAAACAGAATGCAAGGAATGCTGCACTGCTTGTGCGAGAAATCTTGCTTGAACTGCAGGAATGCGACGAAGTAGTGCGTATAAAACCACAGTCTGCTCACATTCGTTCCATTGTGAGAAAACTCGAGTGAGTTCGCCAACTTGTTCACAAAATAGAGCCCCCGGTGACCACTTCATTTTTAACAGTGAGTTAATATTAAGGAGCAAATATTAAAAGCTCCAATGTTTTTTCTCTTTCTTTGAATTGTGCAGATTATAATTCAATTATGTCTCAGTGGTATTTCAGCAAAACCAGGATGTACCAATACTCTGTATTAAACAAATGACATTTATATATTTTAAAAACTTATTTTATGTGAAACACAATTATTCAGAAATTTGACCTTGTTTATATTCCTATAAAATATTGATCATTTTTATATATTTAGTTTTAACATTCAATATATTTATTCAAAGTTTTATTTTTCATAAATAAAGTATTCTAAAATTGGAAAGGAAGGAATATCCAGGTTCTATATGTAAAAACAAAGTTATAAAGTTCATAAAGGACAATATAATTGGTTTGAAATTTATTAATAAATTGTAACGTCAACATAATAAATTTTTAGAAACATTAAATTCAATCACTAAAGTGTAATGTCAATACTGCAATGATTATAGGTATAGTATATTTGTATGTAATATATAAAAATTTTCATAAAAATTTCATTAAATATTATACATCAGTAATATCTTATTTGAAAAATATTATTTTTCGGAATTATAACGCTTAACAAGCAAAAGTTGGAGAATTAGTTGATAAATTTTATTTTAAATCATCCGTGACACTATCATCTAAACTTGATATCACAAAATTAATATTTAACATAAATTAACATATCAACTTTCTAGAACAGTGAAAGTGTGTAAGCAAAGTAAAACTAAACATCCAATGTTAGTTGGTCTCGTACATCAAATTCGTTTGTATTTATCTAAAGTATATATCCAAACATGTAACGTATCGTTAGAAAAAAAAACAACGACAATAATTTATCACAACTCAGTATACGCTCCTGATAACAATTTTTTCCAATGAACCAACACTGTAAACATCGTTCCGGTTTCTGGTTTCGCAAAAAAAAAAAAAAAAAATTCATTAATCCGAGGTTAATATTTAGTTTCTTGGATTTTTCTCAGTCTTACATACAGGCGTATGTAACAAACTAACAGTGCTGGACATAACCTCAAAATATCTGTGTACACTGCATCGACATGTAGGCACATCGATAAGAATTCCACTGAGGTCAAGTTTGTTTACCCCGCGATGCGTGTGTATTTATAGCTTTCCTGTTACGATCCATTCGGCGGTGCAATGGCACCGTGTGCGAGACTTTATGTGTTTCCAACACCGATTGATAAGATACGATTTTTCTTTCCACAGGCAGAAATAACGCGACGACCCGTGAATATCTCGCCAAGCATTCTCTGGAACCTCCGTGCAACAAGATCGAACGATCCGCGGAAGAATTTCATTTTGTATTTCTTCACGGAATTCTTTAGGTCGCTATCGTCGGTACCGCTGCGTATCACTGTATGCGTGGGACATAGTAGAGGGGAAAGGGCGAAGAACGAACAGAGAAAAACAAGAGAATTAAAAAAAGCTTGTCTACGCGAAAATATCAATCGCTTTTCGCGATAAGAGCAACGCGCGCAGATCGTATGGTCGAAAACAGCCGCGAAATACACGAGAGAGATATACTCTACGAACGCGCGACGAATGTATCGCTACTGTGCGACTGGTGCTCGGCCATTGAGCCGAACAGCAAACAACAAAATTGTACGCTCAAATCGGTCAACGCGTTACCACTAGGTAATAGCAGCTGTATACTCGTGTAATTACCGTATTTTCAAGACTGGATGTGGCTGTTCCGCAAGATCGTTCTGTTCTTTGCAAAATAACAACAATACACAATTATAGCATTTTATACGACGTCGAGTTAAAGGAAACATGTATCCACCATGCGGTATGGTGGGCTTACGTGACCACACTGGTTCGTCGTCGCGACTCATTGCAGAACGTCGCCACTGCTATTGGCCCTCGCTCGAATGGTGACGACCAATCGCGTTCTAGTTTGGGGCGCGGTTCATTTGTGTCTCAAATATGTTGATTTTGTTTGACTTTTTAGCACACGTTCAAAATTCAATTAAGATTATTATTACTATCTTTGGTAGATGTTTGTTAGTTAATAGAGGTTGTTGGATTGTAAAATAACTTGTAATTCTATAGAGGCAATCGAATCGAGTTAATCTTTTGAAAAATATTTATTTTCTTTAAAATAGTTTATGCCTTAACAAGAAAAAGTATATATAAAAGATTATTAATCCTAACATAAAAATATGACTAGACTATTATTTACAAAAAATTAACAAATTCACTAAAACTTAATAATTTATTTGTACATTACAATTTATATCCTTTCTGTACAATAAAAACTAATATAAAAAAGCAGCATCATAATATTAAAAAATACAAACACAGTAGTAGACTGGTTCTTTATTTTAAGTCAGACTTAGCATAATATACATATTCAAATGAAAAATAACTTTTAAAAAATAATGCAGATTATTAGAAATATGTAATAGCATAAAATAAAGTATGTTTCATGTTTATAAAAATATTGGATATTAAATATAAATTAGCATACACTCATACAATTTCTTTTTTTTTCTCTCTTTTTTGATTACTCCAAATGATGAAGGAACACTGAGAAGAAGAACAACTGATTTTACACTGTCTATATATAAAGTATTCTTATCCTATGATGTGCTACTTGTTGTACGCTATTAAATATTGTCCCCCATTCCATCGCTTTCTGTGACCAAAGCACGTTCCAGGATGACACGGCCTTCTTTGTATCGTTGATTATCGTCTGTGGCAAATTCATACACCCACCCAAGCTTAGCTTCACAGTTTTTGCAGCTGACATCTCGGACCATGTGACGACCCGTCAACATCACTCTATCCTGTACCTCGCTGTGTATCATTGTAGACAAATTAAATTATGAATTAGTAAAAACTATACTAGATTATTCCGTTAGTACAATTTCTCTGAGATTTTGTACAGTTACGAATGGTATCCTGTGTGCTAAATAATGTTAAGAAACTACATACGCATAAACAGGAAAACCATGTACCTAAGAATGATATAATCAATGCAGAATGAATTGTAAAATTCACCAACGTTTAAATTATCAATAAAACAATGAAATTATTCTTGTTTCAAGCTGCCAAGTTCCTTTAAAACATTAAAATTGTTTTAAACTGTACTAACAATCTTGACACAATACACACACAAATGTGACAATGAAACTTATCAAAACAAAAACGACGCCATATTGTTTCTTTGTATTTTATAAACAGTCATAGTGTTACTTCTCTCAGTTTGTCCATACACAATTTTCTCTAAATGTTAATTCGAAATTTTCATTTCAATTCAACTTTTCCTTTTCTGCAGTTTCTTAGGCATATGAATATAGGCATTCCACCTTGTCTTTATACGTCAAACATAACACAGTTGTCTTTATACGTCAAACGCGAGAATTTTCGAACAATAGAAATATAAACGTAAACTTATTGCATGTTACTTATTGTATTTTGATTAACATTAGTTTATTTAAAGGGATAGAGGAAAAACGCGAATACCTGTAATTCAAGTTGACGACTTTGTTAAATAGAAAAGCACGGCCTGTAGCGCCAGTAAAACGCGTGCTTATCAGCTGACCTCTGTTTGTAAGATTGGTGTCACAAGAAGCACAAGAAAACAACCGAGTACCTCCGATGTGTTCCAAGAATATCACTCCCATCCTGAAATATCGTAAATCGCTTTCCAAATAACTACTGTCGGATTACGAATTGGTAAATTCAAGCGAGCTGCTTTGACTCTGTAAAGAGTCGTGTAACTTGACGTAGCTGCCACTACAGTACAATACACTACACAATACCGTCCAAATGTTTGTATTTGTCAAGCAGCTTTCATTGTAATTCACAGATTTCGAACTTCTAGATGATACAACCGCCTGTAAGAATTTTAAACCCATGCGATCAAAGCGACGCTAACGGAAAAAAAAGAAAACACACACACACACACACACACACACACACACATTGTATATAAATTGTAAATTTAACTTTAGAGATAACTTACTTTAAAGATTTGTATTTGTAAATTACAAATTAATTGTCATTAATATATTTATGTATATTTTTACTCATCATTACAGGTATAAGTAATTTAATAAAATAATAAATTATCTGAAAGATTACACTAATAAAATTTACTAATTACCTATCATTAATAATAAAATTTATTATATAAGTCGCAATTTTTAAATTATGAAGCTATATTTAGATAATTTTATATTAAAATTTAAAAAATTGTATGCTTATATAACTTAGTTTCTATAAATAATCTTGAAATATGTTTTTACAAATAATAATGAAATAATTTTGATGTAATGTTATTCAATGATTATATATACATATATGTATACATTTATATATCATTGGTAATACATTAAAATTAGTAATAAAATAAGTAAAAAAATATAAATTTTATGTAAAATAAAATATCAATAAGACATTGAATAAGACAAGTCTAATTTTAATATTAAATATCATAGTTATAAAATGAAATATGCATTTATATGTCTATTTATGTACACAAGCAAATTAAATAAAATATAAGCATCATAATATATTTCTGGAAAATGATGAAAATACCGCAAATATATACATTACCAAAATAGTTATTTAATTTTATACTTCACTGTAATAATGATACAAAGTATGTTAGATCTATACCTAAAAAAATACATGCTGTGTACAATATATCGATTGAAAATTATTTTTAAATAAATATACTTTAAAGAAAGTTGATAAATTTGTTTAAATTAAAAAATAAAAGTAAAAAATTAATTTTGAAATATATTTTGAATACAAAAAATTTTTCAATCGTTTTATTTTTCTTTTAAATAAATAGATATATGTATACATTAAGTAAAATTAACAAGTCTTTTTAGACTAAGAATTCCTATTCCTCTTTTTGTTTAAAATATGTTGTAAATAATTTCGAGCGACTACATCAAAATATTATATCTTTATTATTCATATAAACGGTATACAATATGTTACAAGTATATATATAATATATATTATATATATAATATATGTTTATGTAAATTATATTTTTAAAGCTAGGTACATAGATGTTTGTGCAGTAAAATTCGAAACACTTTCCCATAATTTTTTCTTTTATAATTCCAAATATTCGGACGTTGGCCGTAAAAGCCTCGCTATAATTATGTACCGTAACCACAATTAGAAAATGTGGAAGGTATGAATATAAAAGCCAAAAACATTTCGAATTACGAAACGAATCGAAAATATATTGTTGGTCATTGTTTAATATCTATGTTCATATCTCTTCAAGGCACATTTGAAATGTAATCAGTATACTCATTTCCATATTACAGAGGAATTTACTAACATTAATTGTTCCTATCAGTTCACTAATAGTGTCTGGAGTTAGACTTTAATGAAATTAAAAAAGTGAGAAAGAAAAACGAGAGAAAATTAATAGAAAAATATAAAACATTAAAAACTCCTTTAGCCAAAATCACAGACAATTCCCTTACTTTCTCAAACAGAGCACAGAATCGCATTTTCATGGTCTTAATTCTAGATTAATAGTTATATAAATATTATAAATATACATTCATATATATATATACGTAGTCTTGTCGAATTATATACATACACGTATACATACGCTTTCTGATATCAGAACATTTACTAATAATAAAATTTACAATTTAACTTGCATACGTGACATTTATTATGTATATTTACATGTACGCACGTATAGCATATAAACAGTGGTCTTTCATGTGTACATGTATATTGCGTATGTATATATATATATATATATATTTATACATATATATTTTGATTATATCCTTTTTTGATATTCAGATCATGAAGGATATCTTCCATAATACTGCACCTATTTCTATGTACATAAAATGTTTACAGAACATAATGAAATATAGATAAAATGTACGCCGATGGTAATAACAAAAATAATAACCAGTGACTTTGCAGTTATTACGTGTTATCGTTACTACACATAGATATGATAAAATGCCCTGCTCATCGGCTTCGTTAAAGTTCATGATTTTGCTGTCCCTTCTTGATCGTACTTATAATATTTTACATTAGAAACGTTATTTTGCAAGATCACAAATCCTTGCTTTACCAATATCATCACATAATACACTCTTACTAACACTCTTTTTATTGCATGCACCTTTCCTTTCCTTCACTGAATATTTACCTAATCAGGTCCTATATGACTATAAATCATCCTTTGTTGGAGGTTGCACAAATTTCCCAATGGATATCAATATGCGGGCATTTTTTGTTTCAAGTTAGATAAAATGGCTATCATCTGCACTGCAGGTATTTATTAACAAGTATGCTTAACGTAATATTTTAATAATTACACGCAACGCAAAGTGAAAACTAGAATCTTTCTTCAATATGTAATAGTAACAAGATTATTCATTAACAAACTATACAAGAAACTATATTCCATAAACCACATTTGTGGGACATTTATGCAACATAAAAGAAATATTTTTACATGTTGAGTGACAAAATAATTATAGCAGTCACAATATTAATATTCATATTAACAGCGATTAACGACATAGATATTAACAATAATAACGTAGTATATTTTTGATAAATTGGAAACGTTATTATTTTTTTTTTTTTAACAGCAATCAAAGCAATTATTTTAATAATTCAGCTAATAAGAAATTGTATTAAGAAATAAATGAATAGATGAAGAGATTTTGTTTTACTTAGTACAAGTTTACGTCATAAACGACTGTTAAATATGAAAAATATATATTTCTTATGTGTTATTTTTGGTAAGTTTTGTTCTGTTGGCGGCAACTGCTGCAAGACATGCCAGTGCTTCTAAGTCCGGCGACGCACACCACGCTATCAATATTTACACAATTAGTTAATTTGATAATAAATAAATAATTTAAGCTTATATTATACTTGTAATAATAAAAATAGAACATAATATCCCCTAATTTAATCATTCTAAATATTTTCACTTTTAAATAAAGATTATTTACAATTGTAAAACTTGTAACAAGTATGTATGAAATTTCACAGATTGGATCATAAAATATTTTTTAACTCATGCATAAACATCATATAAACTGCTTTAGTTAACTGAACTCTTTTCCTTAATGAACAGTATAATTTCTTCTTCTAACTTTCACTTCTTTACAGATGAAAACATAGATAATTTAAATCACAATTAAAATAGTTTTTATAAGTTTTTCTTTTATAAAAATAACAACGTTCCAATCTGAAAAATTCACGAGAAATATTCTTCTCATATTCGTACCAAATGCTAAAAACTGACACTAGTCTATGCTTACGTTTGTTGGGTTCCTCAATTTCAATTTGCTTTGAATCGTTTATAGCTGCCGCATTGCGTGTAATGCTCTGTTTTCGTGCTTTCCTCTTTTGACTTCCAACTAGAAGTTTCTCAGCATCTTCAGAATTTTCACGTTCTGTTTGAGATATTTTTGCATTGTTTTGACTGTTTACTTGATCATTGGTATCAAAATTATTCTGATGCCTTTTGTTATTCGTAGTCGATGTTAATTTTTGTACAATCTTTTTCTTTTTCGTACGTTGTTGTTTCTTCTTTTCCTGAAATTCTTCTAAACTTAAAGATGGTAAGGCTTCAATTTTCTTTTCTAAATTAAAATCCCTACATAAGAAAATGAAAATAATACATTACACAATATCTTAATGCATAATGTTATAAAATGATATTAAACTTACTCAGCTCGAAACCTTTTTCTTGCAGTCCATGGTCCAAAATCAACTTGTCCTTCTGTGCCTTCAGTTTCTGTTTCTTCTGGCTTTGACGCTTCTATATTTCCTTCAGCACTTTAAACAATACTTGGATTATTTCCTTTTGCCTGCATGTATATAATAGGAACATGCAAATAATAAACAAAATTTAATTACCTTTCAACAAGATGCTCTAATTCACCGCGAGAGCTATTTCCACCTTCACTACTTAAGGAATCTGTTTTCTCACTGACATTTGAAGAAATAGAATTTCTTCTTTCATTTACTTGACCATCACTGCTAATGAAAATATCAATCAAAACGTATTAGATTATTAATGAATTATATTGCATACTGCATACAATATTCAATGAAATGCTCTAATTATTTACCTACGATTTCCAGTTTGTTTTCTTCTCTTAGGCTGCTGTCCTGATACACCAACATTTTTCATTTGTTCAGCAAGGAACTTTTGATAACGCAAACCTTTGCATGTTCGTTCACTTCTAAAATTACTTTCTTCTGAAGGCATGTTTGTAGTTAAAAAATTATTTATTTCTATTTTTTCATCTTCTGTGTCCTAAACATAATTGTTAATATTAATAGGCATATGACATATTTTAAGAAACAGAATAAGCATTCGATTATTTAAAACTGAAAAACCTAAAAAGATTGCTTACACATTGATGCACATTGTTATTGGATTCAGATTTTCTTCTCTTTTTTGCATCAAAAAGATCAGCTTTGCATTCTCTCTTATTATCAGGTGAAAAAGGTATTTCTAAATATCGTTTCTTAGGAGGTTTTGGAACTTCAGTATCATTTTCAATCACAGAATCATTAATAGTCACTTGCTCATCTGCTGCTTGTATTTTTTGAGGTGTGAATAATGAACTGAGACCACCAATTTGGGATTCATCAGCTAATTTTCCTGGTTGAATTGATTGTCCATCCCGCTTGTCAGATTTTGAATAATCGGAAGACTTGTTCTCAGATTTTACACTTTCTACTAGTTGCTCATTAGGATTTGTTTCTGCCTTTTTGTTTGTAGGCCTAGTATTCAAAGTACGTAAAGGAGGTGCTGGCAATTTGTACCATTTAAAGTCAGGATTTGCATTTAAGAATGCATCTTTGTACTGAAAAAATTTGAAATGAAATTATAGTTATCTGACAAACACTTGCGTTTTAATAAAGATGAATATAAAACTATAACTAATAGTGACTTTGTAAGATTCACAACAGACTACATCAAATTACATTAACATATAATTAGTAGCATGACATTTAACTTCCTTATTATGCAAGTTACCTCCTGTGCTAAGTTTGTGTAAGAACGTTTCTGATCTGGATGAAGGGTGGCCCACCATTCACCAAGAACCCTAGTAACTGCTCGATTTTCCAAATGTGGGAAACCAGATCGCACTGAACCACGGTGTCGTTTACAAAAAATAAGAAAAGCATTCATTGGTCTTCTTGCATGGTGGGCTGGTTCTCTTAATTCTCGTGACTCCTAATTATTAATACAATTTATTAGTATGTGTGTGTGTATATATATATATATAATGTATATAAATATATAAACATGTACAATTGGTTAATAAAAGTTAAAGTGTAAAATTAAAAATAAAATTTTATTTATATTTACTTAAATATAGAAAAAATATAATTTTATCATATATCTACATTTAACAATATAAGAAATTAAGTTCTTTGAATTAAAAAAATTAGCAAAGATTTTTAAAATTATACATCATACCTAAAATCAATATACACAGCATTTATTTACAGATATTACGTAACCTCGCGTATAAATGTAAAAAAAAAAATTATATATATTTTTACATCGCAACAATATTATATGTTATGTTATAGCACTTGTGAAACCTTAAAATCAGATACCTTGACAGTTTCTAAGGTTACATATGCTTATCTCTGCATTCATAGGTAACAGCAATGAGTTGAAACTAATTACTTATACGAAGTACATAGCTCAAAAAAACAGAAACGTGCATATTGTTATTAATTTAGAAAAAACATACATATTACATATTAATGAACGTGTATCTTGCTCGACACCAAATAAACTTTTTTTTTAATGAGATATTCATTTAAAAAAAAAAGATACATGAATTGCATAAAAATGATTTTCCTGACAAAGAAAATTCTATTAGTCATTTTTTTCATTGCAACGCGATTAAATAAATTATCGACAATGCATGTTCATGCTCTCGAACAAACGAGTTATAAGTGATGAAAAAATAAAAACTGTGAACGTGAACATAACAAACATGACGGAGATCGTGCGTGCACGCACAATATTAACGTATGCATACGTGCAATTGACGAACACGAGTGAAAACCGTATTAATTTCGAATCGAAAGTAATCTTTATTCGTTGTTCGGCCTTATCTTTTCAATATTTTCACCTTCACCGATAAGTCAACATTGTTGCAAAACGACGTGAAACAGTAAACGCGCACGTTCAATTTATACTTCGTGCACAACATTATGAAATTGGAACGATTTCGGTGAATTTCGAGAAAAACTGGCTACGCGACGTTTTGTAAAAATGACTTTTCCAAAGAGAAAAAAAAAAGAAAAGATTTCGTTCGGCGATAACTAAGCAAAAAAGAAAAAAAAATCACATCTATTTATGGTACAACGAGGAGAACCATCTATAAATGCCCGGATTGGTAGAATCCCAATGTCAGAGGAATGAATGCATTCCGCCGTACATTCCCGAAATATCTCGCAATCGCAATTGACAATGCGCTATTAAGATCGGCTGGCAGCGGAGATCACGTCGCAGAGAAAAAATCCACAGATATCCGCCGTCGTCAACAGGCATATGTTAATTTTCGTGTCCCGTCTAATTACCTCGGCCCCGCGCGCAAAGTCCAAAAATATTTTTCATGTAATAAAAGTGTCGCAATCGCTCGTTAAACTCGCATTATCGCGGGCGCGGATCGCCGAAATGAAAAGTTGAAAAACGACGATGGGGAAAGAAGAAACGTGACAACGAGATGATATTATTTGGCCATCGTCGGATATTATTTGGATGCATGTCGCTCGTGGTTTCGATGTACGTCGCAGCCTTTCGTTAATGCCATTGCACGTACCGTACGTACGTACCATCGTCCCTCCCCCGATATCACTCGAATCCCCAACGTCAAATTCAACGTCGTTTTTTTGGCAAACGACGTCCGTAAGTAACGTAGTTGTTTCGGTACGAGACAAGGAGCCGAAGATGATCGCAGGTCGCGCGTATTTCGTCACCCGTGGATCTTAACGACACCCTCCTTCGCGATCCGTCCACTTGACAGCTGGTCGAGCGAATGTAAATACTGCCTATAGCAATCTATACGGTCTCCCTGTGCACCGATGATCTGGCAAATATTTGAATGAAGCGGAACGTCCCGTTGAACGTTGGCCATCCGCGTTAAACGCAGCAGGTTCTCGCGCTGTTCGTTCTTGCGGCCCCTCTCGCTGTCAGACATTTATCGACGCAAAACCCGAGGATCCGAGGTCGCGTTTCGGCCACGACTTGTGGGTACACGTCGAGAGGCGGCCGTGTGCGTGCGGGATCCCGTTTTCTTTTTCCTGACTCAAAACCATCGCGAACGGGCCGCACGTCCGACCGTGGTGAACGACGAAACGACCAGCAAACGACACGACGAACCCGCCTCGGATGCGAACGTACGGAAAAGCCGCTGGCAATCCAGAGAAAAACACAACGTATTCTCTCCCTACTCACCTTCCGTTGTTGCTCGTTGGCAGCCATTTCTGATTTCACTTGACAATTCACTCAGCGGCGCATAATAAAGATAAAGCTCCGGCACTGAGAGTGCTCTCTCTCTCTCTCTCACTCTCGCTACGCACGTCTTGCCTTCTTTCTCCGACTCTCTCCCGTCCCGCGAATCGCTGCCTCTCCTTCTCACGCGCTGTCTCCCGTCCTTGTCACTTCTCTGGGGCAGCCTTCGTTCACGTTTGTTTCTGGCTGGCTGGCCCACGTAAACGGGAATAATCCACGACGGCGAACGGCGTCGACACGTTCTGTTACGGTTCGTGAGATTTATCGATCACCAAGAGGAACACCAGCGGCAGGCCACGTTTCGCCTGAACGTTCGCGGCGAGCGTTATTGTCCGTGCGAAATTGCGTTCGCAGCGCGGACGTTCGTCGTGACGCAAACGTCATGAACCGACGAACGTCACTGTTTAAAAGCCAGTCACGCGCCTGCACACGTTCCGATAGAATCGACACAAACGCGCAATTGCCAGCGCGATTTCAAACCGTATCCCGGGCGATTAACGCGACTCGAGGCCTCGCCGACGAACGTCGAACTCTTGCCTTACTCGATTCTTGCGAATCTACACGCGCGATTGCGAAACCGACGTATTTAACGTCGCACGGATTTTCGGCATCGTGCGCGTCACGTTCAAAGGAGCGAGAGGTTCGCGCGTGTAAACATGCAGTGTTACCAACGAAACTGCACAAAAAGTTTCACCAGATGAAAATTCACTATGAACCGGAATTTTTTTTTTTTATCTTTCTGACTCCCCGAAACTGTAGTAATCGAAATTTACGTGACATTTTTCAATTAATAGACGATGTACACGTGTGCAAAGCTATTTGCTTTGATTAAATACTATCGACTGACAATGATTAACAGCAAAGATATTTTTCGGTTTATTTGAAAAATACTGAAAAGACGATTGCCAATGTGACGTATTGAGAGATTAAAGTAACTGTGGGAAATATCGTGTTTATAGTTAGTAGATCTAACCTATTCATTTGATATTTGTTTACTAAAATACATTCTTTGATAATTATAAATGTTATTGACGTTTCACGTGAAAACAATACTGTGAAATATTATTCGAGTTTCTTATTCTTTGATCGTTTCTGATTTCTGTTATAAATATCGAGATTGTAAAACAATTTCTACAACTTATCTAATACAAATAATTAATAATTTATTGACTTAATAAATCATATTGCATTCGTCAACTTTGATTATTTATTTTTATTATATTAGAAGAAATTGAAAATCTAACATCATGGAGAAGTCACAGAAAATGCCAAAAGTGGCAAAGGTATGTAATTTTATATATTTTTGTGTACATATGATTTGGTGAATGAAATAAGTTTTTTGATAACTATTCTAATTGTACTTTATTTTAGGTCAAAAATAAAGCGCCTGCTGAAATTCAAATAACAGCAGAACAGCTTTTGAGAGAGGCGAAAGAAAGAGATCTGGAAATCTTACCACCAGTATGTATCTTTCTATTTACTTTATTCAAATTTCATTTTAATAATTTTAACTTCTCATTGGAAGATAAAAATATTTTATTATATATAAATTTTAATTAAACATTATAATACACATTTACTTTTATTTTAGCCACCAAAGCAAAAGATCTCTGATCCTCATGAGTTAGCTGATTATCAACATCGGAAACGCAAAGCTTTCGAAGATAATATTCGTAAAAATCGCATGGTTATTTCAAATTGGATAAAATATGCCCAATGGGAGGAAAGTCAAAAACAGATACAACGAGCAAGGTATAAAATATATGATTGTTATAATCATATATTTATAATTAATACACTATATTTCTTTTGACAAAAAACAGATAGAATTTTGTATTAACACATGGTTTATCATTTGTTATCAAAAATTTTGCATTAAAGTCTCATTTATGAATTTTAGGTCCATATATGAACGTGCTCTGGATGTTGATCACAGAAATATTACATTATGGCTCAAATACACAGAGATGGAAATGCGAAATCGTCAAGTAAATCATGCAAGAAATTTGTGGGATCGTGCCGTTACTATATTACCTAGAGCAAATCAATTTTGGTATAAATATACTTATATGGAAGAAATGTTAGAAAATATTGCTGGTAAATTTTTTTTATTTTCGATCTGAAATCGTATATCAACAACTTATTGCTGATTGAAAAAATTTATTTAGGAGCGCGCCAGGTATTTGAAAGATGGATGGAATGGGAACCCGACGAACAGGCATGGCAAACTTACATAAAATTTGAATTGAGATATAAAGAAATACAGAGAGCTAGACAAATTTACGAACGGTTTGTAATGGTTCATCCAGATGTTAAGCATTGGATAAAATATGCACGCTTTGAAGAGTCTCATGGTTTTATTAATGGCGCTCGTAACGTTTACGAACGTGCCATTGATTTTTACGGCGATGAAAATTTAGACGAAAGATTGTTTATTGCATTTGCAAAATTCGAGGAAGGACAGAGAGAAGTAAAATTATTTCCGTATAACGTTCGATGTAATGTTTATACATTATTAACGCTACATTTCTTTACAGCATGATCGAGCCAGAGTAATTTATAAATATGCATTAGATCATATTCCAAAAGAAAAAACGCAAGAGATTTATAAAGCGTATACGATACATGAGAAAAAATATGGAGATCGTTCAGGTATTATAATTTATTTTTCATTTATCATTTGTTCAGTCATGTATTGTATTATTGTTGATAGGCATCGAGGATGTAATAGTGAGCAAACGAAAGTATCAATATGAACAAGAAGTAAAAGAAAATCCTTCAAATTATGATGCCTGGTTCGATTATTTGAGATTAGTAGAATCGGAAGGGAATGTCGATGTTATTAGAGAAACTTATGAGCGTGCGATAGCTAATGTACCTCCCACTAAGGTAGAAAATATATATTTAATTAATATATATATATATATATACATAATTATATATTTATTAAATAAATATTATTTATATAAACCTATCATTTTTTTATAGGAAAAACTATTTTGGAGAAGATACATTTATCTTTGGATAAATTATGCTCTTTTTGAAGAACTTGATACTGAGGACATAGAAAGATGCAGACAAGTCTACAAGTAATTAATATCTTATTATATAAAATGTATTTCGATCAAATAGTTATATTTTTATTAAAGATTAAGTTATATTTTTTTTTCAGAGCTTGTTTGGAATTAATTCCGCACAAACACTTTACTTTCTCCAAAATCTGGTTACTTTACGCATACTTTGAAATAAGACAGAAAAATCTCACAGCGGCGAGAAAAAGATTAGTAAGTAGCAATTAAATGAATTTGTGAATTTCAACAATGCTGAAAAAATTAATTAATTATTTCAATTATAGGGTATGGCGTTAGGTATCTGTCCCAGAGATAAATTATACCGTGGATACATTGATTTAGAAATACAGTTAAGAGAATTCGATAGATGTAGGATTTTATATGAAAAGTTTCTCGAATTTGGGTCAGAGAATTGTACCACATGGATGAAAGTATGTGAACTTCATCAATTTATTATTTATTACAATTTCAGTAGTTAAAAGTTTACAATTCATAATATTCTTTTGTACAGTTTGCAGAATTAGAAACGCTCTTGGGTGATGTAGATCGAGCACGAGCTATTTACGAATTAGCTATATCACAACCAAGGTGAAATATTTAAAAATAAATGTAAAAATATGGATAACCATGATTTTTTATTGAATCGTTATTATTTCAATTTATAGATTAGATATGCCAGAACTCCTGTGGAAATCGTATATTGATTTTGAGATATCGCAAGATGAAACAGAAAACGCAAGGCAATTATTCGAAAGATTATTAGAACGTACACTTCATGTTAAAGTAAGAGTTGTAGTTAAATACGAGATACGTAATATTAAGTAGTAATATATATTATATTTATCAAATATTGTACAACTTAGGTATGGATTGCATATGCTAAATTTGAATTAGCAAATTCAACAAGTGAGGATGGTCTTGATAATGTTGTATTAGCAAGAAGAATCTTTGAACGTGGAAATGATGCACTTAGATCGAACGGCGACAAAGAAAGCAGAGCGCTGCTTTTGGAAGCGTGGAGAGATTTCGAGAATGAGAAAGGAGATGATGAAACTCGAGCTAAAATTATGGAGAAAATGCCTCGAAGGATTAAACGTAGAAGACGTATTGTCGGAGAAGACGGAGTAAGTAAATTTATCATGTTGCTTGAAAATTATGTAAAAAAAAACATTTTTTTACGTATGTAATTTTCAATTTTAGAGTGATGATGGTTGGGAGGAAGTATTTGATTTCGTGTTCCCAGAGGATGAATCACAAAGACCTAATCTTAAATTTTTGGCATCTGCTAAGGCTTGGATGAAACAAAAAGAGATGAATGATAAAAATGAAAATCAAGCAGATTCCAATAGTTAAAAAATTATTCTTTTTTACGTAGATAATTTATTGTTTTTGTAAATAAATTAATGTTTGCCTTTTAGTATGTAAATAAAGAAAATAATTAGCCTTTAAGTATTTTAAAAACACCGACTATTTTTTTCAAATAAGTTCACAAGTTCAAAAAGTGTAATAAAATATATTACATTATTCTCTAAGCGTATAGAATTTATATTTATAGTTTTGTAAAGATAAAATGAGCAATTATACAAGAAGATTGTCTGAACAAATAACAATAGTATTCAATAACCCTTTTATTATGCATTTTTAATATTTTCATAGTGGTTTTAATGTACAATTTTATACCTCACAATGAAAATGTAAATTTATAAACATACGTTACATACATTAATCCCAGAGCTGTTTTATTTAACCATTTATGCAAATATAGTATACAAGTGAAAAATACAAAATATTCTTTGGCAGTCATGCGTTTCTTACCACAGTGGGCTAATTTGTTAAAAAATTTCGATGTAGACAGTAAACAAAATTAATCTCTCCCTATAATAACTATCATGAATAAACAACCCAAAAATGTTAGAAAGAAGCAAGTAGTTCTGGTCACAAAACGCAGATCTGCTGTAACAGTTTTAAATGTCTTTGAAAATAAACATAAATTAAGCCATTATATAAAAACAAGTGTATATTGATTCATCAAATTATATCACTTTGTACTTGTTAGAAATATAGTGAACTGGAATATCAGTTTGATGTATTCATTAATCTCCTTAACTTTCATGTTTCTGTATTATTTATCCTTTGGAGAATATTTTTTCTTCTCATCGCTTTCAAAGCCAGAATCTAAATCATCGCTTAAACATTTTTTTAATGTATAATTTTTAGAATGTTGCTGCAAATCTCTGTTCTCCATTGACAATTTCTTAATGCAGCTTACTAATTGTTCAAAAAAATTGGGATAACTATCATACCCAGGAAACATATTTACATCTATGATTGCATATTTTCCAGTATGATTTTCAATAACAACATCCACACCAACCAAAAGTAATCCAAAGAGTTCTGTAACTCTCTTAACAATCTTTTCTAAGGTTTCATGTCTTGGTTTTACTGTTAATGGAATGTCTTCTTCCGTAAGAATTGACCATTTTGACCTGGAGCCGCTTTTGCATATATCGTGAGAACTAAAAAATATTGTGTTCAATGCAGTACAGTCTTCTTCGTAAAAGTTTTTGAAACTAGGTCTTTCAACTACGTGAAAGTTCTCTCCAACTATATATATTTTATATAGTATTGCATTATGGTTGACAAATTCCTGAGCCACGCAAGGAGGCTGACAATCCTTCACACCCTCTTCATTAAAAATCACCATCATCTAAGAAAGCATACGTATATATTATTAATTTTTAAATGATGTTTGTACCTTCTGTGATGATTATGAAATACCTTATGTGCATCATTGGAACCCTGAGCAACAAGTGGTTTGCAAAGAAATGGGAACTTAATACCTGCCATTCTTAACAGTGATATATTCTCAACGGCACTTTTACTTTTGATTTCTACAAATCTCGGAGTAAATACATCTACAATACAGACACATAAGCTAGAATCAACAACTTATTGCTTAAAACTTTATTAACTGTAATCGACAATCGTCAGTTATTGTTAAAATTGCATTTGCTACCAACAATTCTTACCATCGAGTCGCAGCTGTTCTTGCAGAATCTCATATGATTTATAACGATTTATTAAAATTCTAATATTGTCCAAAGGGTCGATAACTATTATTTCAGGATGTTGGCAGAAGTATTCTTTCATTCTCGAAATGATTGCTTTGGCCTAAAATATGAGTGAACAAATTAAAAGGTAATGGTAACAGCAACAGATGTGAGAAAAAAATTTATTCATACATTTTGATCGCCATATTCAGCATGCGCTAGTTTATCTGTCATTTTATATATAAAAACATGAAATGGTCCCTGAGATTCAAGATCAGAATTTATATCAATCTGCAATCAGTTGTAAAATATATCATCAAATGTACAAGTATACATAGAACATTTGCATATATACATAACCTCGTACTGCTACGAATAATTATTTAATAACAATTCGGGAATGTCTGAAAATTATTTACCATTTTTAATAGAAACCCTTCAGACTCACAGACACTACAAAAATCGTTCCAATTAAATTTCTGCCGCTTTTTCTCAGATATCGAGTAACCGATGACATTCTTGTCGCTCATTTTTTCCCGCGTGGTTCCCTTGTGTTGAGTATAATTTTTATCCATTAAATATAGTACATCATTACCAAAAATACCCCGTAGGAAAACTGCACGTTATTAATGCGTTGATTCATAAGATTCTCGCGTCAACTAACTTCATATTTTTCCCCCGAAATGTTAGGTTATGTTTGGATCGTTTAAAAAATACACCACGGTACTATTGCATTCCGTTTAATCGTGTACATTTTACACACGGTGTACAAAGTGCATTTACTTTATCGGATTCAACCTTTGTGCATATCTAGAACTATCGCTGTTTATTTGAAACTGTGTAATAAATGATCACAGGTTAGCTAGGATATAATAATGACAAGCACGTTCCACATTATTTATGCTTAATTACACGATACCGTACAACCATCCGACATACAATACGTTTATTTAAAATCATTATTCTATTTACAGTATCTTGACGATATTTCTCATCGTGTGCATTCGATGATCATTTTCTCAAATCATAAATAAGAGGTGCGTCACCGCTGTTGCATCTTCAATTGTAATATTTGAAACGTACGTGGCTCGCGTCGAGATACACCTTGCGCCTTCTCGATCAAATCAGCAATTCTAAATTTCTCCCATGCTTTGCACGAGGGACTGGACACAAATCGATTAAGAAATTAAAAAATAGTAGTTTTTAATAGAATTAAAAGTCGATATCGTCGCAATACAATATTTAAATTTAAGTAATTTTTATTTACTTGATTTATGATAATTCTAATGTTTGAGTTTAAATAATTTTAACTATTTTTTTATCTACTTAATTTTAATATTATTGTTTCACATATTATTATTGAAGTGATTTTGTCACCTTTGAAGATTTGCTCCAAGAAGTCAACATCTCTTTCGTAACGAAAATAGCGACGTTGCTATCGAAATTATCAGTGTTTTCGCTGTCTGATCGACTCTTTGTCAGCATGCGAACTTCACCGAGAGAATAAGAACCGGAACTTGGCATGTATAATTCCCCTTCGGAATGTGATGCATCAGACGAAATTTCAACCTAAAATGATGGGGCAAAATTACTACGAAGCATCCTGAAAGTAATAAAATCTAAATATAAAAATAAATATTTATATACTATATCATTAAATATAAATATATCATTAAATAAATACTTATATACCATATCATTAAATATAAATATATTATTAAATAAATATTTATATCTTATATCATTAAATATAAATATATTATTAAATAAATACTTATAAACTATATTCTAAATATAAAAATAAATAATTACATACTATAGTATTATAATTCTTCTTTTTTACTTTTCGTGGAAATCTTTTATGCATGAAATTAGAAATTAATAAATGCGAATTTTGTATAAATGTGAGTGCGGCAATATATTTTTAATAAACAAAAAACTTTAGAAGAACTGCTAAATAAATTAATGCTGGACCATTACTAAAAAGTAGATTTTTATTTATTTCTTTATTTTATGGATAAATATATAAATATTTGAAGTTACAAGCATTTTGTAACAAGTATGTTGTAACGAAGTTATAACGCTCGTTATAATATTTATTAAACAAAACAAATTTCGGAGTTTTATTTCTTAAGGTATAATTCGTGAAAATACGAATTTGTACAAATACTTGCCGTTTAATTATTACATTGGCAATACGTCAATAGAATTAAACAAATATTTCCTACCTTATTTGATCGTATCGTAGATATTGCAGATATACCGTTGGAAAATCTGCAAGGAGAATGATGTAACATTTTTTACAAATTAATCAAAAAGAAATTTACAAACAATCAAATGAGACAAAAAGATAAATAAAATATTTGTTCTGGCGATTTCTCATAATTAGAATTACGTGTACGAAAGACGTTGGACTTCTTGTTCACATAAAAAAATTTATTGTTCTATTTTTAATATATTTTAATTATAAAATATATTTTAATATATTTTAATTTATTGTTCTATTTTTAATATATTTTAATTATAAAATAAGATATATTTTAATTAAAAATTTATTGTTCTGTTTTTAATATATTTTAATTATAAAATTATAAAATTATATATATATGTAAGAGAAAAATTATATATATATGTACAATATTTATGTTTAATTATAAAATTATAAAATTTTATATATATATATATATATATATATATATATATATATATGTAAGAGAAAAATTATATATATATGTACAAAGTTTTATTTAAATTCATCCTATATAAATAAAGTAATGAAATTGAAGTTTATTTAGATTGTTTCATTTTCATACTCACAATTAAAGTGATCAACAATGTGTTGAGAATTAGTCAATCTACTGTAATCCCGATCCACGCGAATCGTTTATAAATTAATATTAATTAGCAACAATATTTATTAGATGTTGCTTGATAAAAAAATTTACCTGTTGATTGGCATTACCTTTGTTGATCAAGGAAGCTCGAACAGTTGGTGTTGGTATCGAGACACGTGGAAGAGAAGAGCTTCTTGTTCATTTCATCATACACCTCCGATAAGATCTTCTCCCTCTCCACACTGTCAAAACGCGGATTATTCGTATTTTCTATTTTATCGTCAGTCGCGTTACACCTTTCTGTCCGTTCAAATTCACACGAAGGTTTCGTATTGTTATTACTCGAGGATCTCGAAAGATTTCTCAGGGAGGATCGAAGGGACGCGCAGTCGCGCAGAGAATCGGACGAATCCTGTGTGATTCTTTTCACGAAGCCGTCGTCGTTCCCTGTATTCTCAATCGACGGCGGTTCCACGAGATTTTCTACTTTTTCACTGGCTACCAAGTTCTCGTTCGAAGCTTCAGAATCATCACGCTTCAAATTCTCCTCGCTTTCGCCGGCATTTTCCATCAAATTCGTCTCTTCTTTGCCAACGTCGTGCAGCAAGTCATCCTCTAATGTTCCAGAAGTTCGACTTGGTTCACCTGACTTGGTTGACTCGTCAGCGACATTGGACTCGGTTCTCGTGGAGATCAAATTCTTGTTCGTCCGCGAGTCCACGCTATTTTCATTGCTCCTCTCGAAATTACTTCTCGTACCATCGAGTACTTTGCCCCCTGTTTCCGAGCTTCCCTCGATGCAGCAACCTATTTTATCCGCTTCCTCGTCTCTGGACGCCATCTCGCCACACTTTAAAACCGATTTATCCGAGGTAGGCTCTCCTCCGTTGCGTCTCCCCTCAGAATTCAACGGAGGTTCCAACTGCGAATCCCGCCTCTCAGACTCGTCGTTCGATTTCCCCTCCGCCGTTCGAACGTTGGAATCCACGTTGTTACACGGTGAATAACGCTCGGTAATCGGTGATCTGAGATTTTCAGGATACGCCGCCTCCAGCAAACTTTTAATCACCGCCGGTACAACGATTTCATTCACGCTGAGAACGTTCTTCGCCCTGTCAATGAAACTCTCCAGTTTGATCCCCTTCAAAACATCCAAAGGAACATTCTGCGAGTCTCCCTTCGTTTCTGAAGGATTTATTTTCGAAATCGTTCCCTCCTTGACAGGCTCGTCGTTGTTGGACAACCTCGACGTCTCGTCCGACAATCTTGTATTGTTGGTGCTGGAGGTGAGTGGATAGATCGAGGAGGCAGTCAGACTGGAGCTATCGTTCACAATTCGAAATAAACGCGCTTTACGAGGGAACGTTTGCCTGTCAATTGTCTCGCTAGTTTCGCTCGAGGCTCTCCTCTCCTCGGCTAATCGATCCGATCGGTCCAGCCGATCTTTCATTTTTATATCTCTTGTTTTCATCGCAGGCCTCTCGCCCCTCCTCTTCGCCATATCATCCTCGAAGTTCATTTCTTTCAGATCCCTCTCCTCGTTCAAGCTTCCACTCGCAACCAGTAACAGGCCATCGATCCAGTCGCGATTCAGTGATTCGGAATGTCTGCTTCGAGCTGGCATTCCTACTTTCTTTAATTTATCCCTCGAACTTTGGCCGCGACGTCCCTTCGAATCAATCGACAAACTTCGTTCTCGTGCTGCCGCCGATTTCACCTCTGTCTCTTCGATTCTCCCTCTGTCCGAGGACACCAGATTACTCCCGTCATCATCTACGCAATACTCTCGCAACTCTGACCGCGAAAGAAATTCATCGATCGTTCTCGTCGACTGAACAATGTTCCCAATTATCTCGTCGTAGGAGGCCAGAACATCGTCCAGCTCGTTTACGGAAGGCTCGTAGAAACGCAGATCGAGACTATCCGGGTGAGACTCGTCGGAACTTTCCGCAGAGATCGTACACGAGGGCGAAACTACGTTGCTATCTTCGTCGTCGTCACGACACTTCGAACGTTCATCGCCCCTGTCGCGACACGCTCGAACAATATTTGCAAAACGTTCCTCTATACCTTTGCGCCGATCTTCACGGGTCTCTCTGTGTTCCTTTCTACTCGTCTTGTGTTTCTCCGCTACCTCTCTACTCGACAACGGGACGTGTTCGTCGTTCGCTTCGAACTGCTTCAGAGAGCATTTACGTCGTTCGGTTCGCGTTCTTAGATTCTTCTCTTCCGAGATTCTCGTAGCATCCTCTTCCATTTCTAGCCGATTTTCACGACACTCTGTTACCGAGGGATTGGTGATTTCTTTCTCCTCCTTCTCCGAGCATCGTTCCTCGAATCTCACCTGTTTCTGCTCGCTTTTCAGAGTTACTTTCTCCTCGGGAAGAGTAGCCTTCGGCTCTTCCAAATTTCTACCTTCGTCGCGAGAGATCGACTCGAGGTTTCTCTCGGAAATATTATCGGAATTCATCGCCAACGATCCGTCTGCTTCGCATACATTCTCCACGTGTTTCTCTAGCTTCTCAATGTTCGTTAGAACAGAGGATCTATCAGAATCTGATATCCCGCCGTCAGGCTTCTTCAATCTTACAGCGTCTTCATCCTCTTCTACCATCCTCGCGATCTTCTCTCGCCTCGCCTCGTTTCTCTTGCAGGAATCGCGACGAACCACGTAAGTCCCGATATTCTGATTCTCCCGAGTGAAACTTGGATCTGGCGAGATGTGAATGTTTGCTAAATTCTGGGCGACTAGGTCCCCTTTGATGTTCACCGAGGGGCCGATCTGAACTGAGAATACATCCATTCTTTCGTCTCTCTCCGTTCCTTTCCTTGGAGAGCGCACTCCATCGTCAATCTTCTTTACCATGTCGTCATTTTCTGGCTCGTCCACCGAGCGAGACGAGGCTAGCCCCAGTCTCCGAATGTCCAGCCTCCTCTGTCGCGAGAATTCTTCGTAACGGTCCGCGGAAATTTGGAATTTCGGAGCCGAGAGGTCGACGAGTCTTTTGCTGGTTGGCTGGTCGCGTTCCTCGTTGGCGAACCGATGGCTGTTTCCGGAGTCCGTATCGATCCAGCCGTTCGCCTCTTGGAATTTACAAGCGACACGCTCACGTACGTACAGCAATTGATCGTTCTCGTCGTCGAACGTCGCCTCGTCCGGACGTCTGGAAGATTGATCTTTGTTAAAAATATGGACGACGAAAGGGTTTCAGTCTTTTCGAAGGGGAGAAATAAAGAAAGAGGTGACGAGAGTTTCAGAGATCTAGACAGAGGAGTTTGCAGATGTTTCTGCGGCAGTATATAAATTTGAATTTGAAACTGCAACGAAATTAATTAAACTGTAACTAAACCATTGAATCGAAACTATTTTATTTTATTTTTTAATTAAAACACAAAGTATTTTATTTTATTTTATTATTTTTTTTTTTAATTAAAACACACATTTATGTTTATAAAACACTCACACATTTAGGCAGCTTTGAAAACGACCACGGCTGACGTTCATACTTATTTCCTTCATCTGAATCTCTGCGTCTTTGACCAGTTTCTCTACATTCTCGAGGGCAGCCGTTGTTTCTGGACTGAGAACTGGGGAAACAGGAACCGTTACGGTGGACCTCTTGCTGTCGAGCTGAAAACAAGAAAAATATATAGCCTCTTTCTCTGAAAAATAATCTCTATATATTCCACTGAAAGTCAAAGTGCCTCGATAGTTAGTAAAATCATCTTTTGTCTTTCAAACAAACTCTTAATCAATTTCGAATCGTTTCATTTCATAAATTTTATTAAATATCAGTATTTTGATCTGATCGATAATATATTACATATATTATGTTATATTATCATTATATTACTATCATTATTTATTATTATTTTCGTCAATCTTGTATCAAGTTATTGTTCATTGTTTTTCATTATTTCAATCAATTTTTACATCTGCAATACCTGTTCATCGTCAATTCTATGTTATTCTAATACCTAATAAAATAATAATAATAAAATTGTCATTATACAATATATCACTTTACTATCATTACTTTGGTCATTTGGTTTTAATGCCTAATAAAATAATACAAATAATAATATAGTAATATATAATAACAATATAATATAGATAATAATAAAATTATGTCATTATACAATATATCACTTTACTATCATTGCTTTGGTCATTTGGTTTTAATACCTAATGAAATAATATGAATAATATGGTAATAATGTATAATGACAATATAATATAAATAATAATAAAATTGTCATTATACAATATATCATTTTATTGTCATTACTTTGGTCGTTTAGTTTTAATACCTAATAAAATAATATGAATAATAATATGGTAATATATAATGACAATATAATAATAATAAAATTATGTCATTATACAATATATCACTTTACTATCATTGCTTTGGTCATTTGGTTTTAATACCTAATAAAATAATATGAATAATATGGTAATAATGTATAATGACAATATAATACAAATAATAATAAAATTGTCATTATACAATATATCATTTTATTGTCATTACTTTGATCGTTTAGTTTTAATACCTAATAAAATAATATGAATAATAATATGGTAATATATAATGACAATATAATATAATAATAATAAAATTATGTCATTATACAATATATCACTTTACTATCATTGCTTTGGTCATTTGGTTTTAATACCTAATAAAATAATATAAATATAATAATTATTTATATAAATAATATAATAATATGGTAATATATAATATAATAATACATACTAACAATACAATATAAATAATAATAAAATTATATCATTAAACAATATGTCATTTTAATAAAATAATGATAATAATATAAAATAATATAAATAATATAAATAATAATGAAATTATGTCATTATAAAATATATTATTTTATTATCATTACTTTCGTCAATCTCGTGTCACGTTATTGTTCATTGCTGTTCATTGTTTCAATCGATCTTGATATTCGTGTTATCATTACCTGCATTACCTGCTCATCGTCAACGACCTTCGCCGCGATCAGTGGAACTCTTTTAGCAGCAGTTCTCGCAGTTTCCATTTTAAGAACCGGACTCCTGGACCCCCTGACGCGACTTCTATCAGAGTGAACTTCCTCCCTTCGCCGGGCGATCGGCACGCGAGTTCTGCAATAGCAATCGCACGCTGACTGCGCGTACGAGTGCATTCTCGTGTAACAAGATGCGTGCGAAGGAATGGGAGGAGGATCCGTGCACAAGTCCAAGTATTCTAAAACGCCGCGTTTCTTTCTGCAATGGCAAACGAAAATTATCGTTAATGATATTGTAAGTAGACTGCGAATTTCTGTGCAAATTTATGCGATATACTTGATACGGGGAAACAGCGTAGTATTACAGATTGTATATAATAATATTTTAATATATAAATATGTAATAATAATAATACAATATAGTGTAATAATATAATAATAATAATATAATATAGACTGCGAATTTCTGTGCAAATTTAAGTAATATACTTGATATGAGGAAACAGTGTAATATTACAGATTGTATATAATATTTTAATAAATAAATGTATAATAATAATAATAATATAATATATATATATATATAATAGTATAATATATAGTATATATAAAATAATATGAATAATAATAATATAATAATATAATAATATTAATAATATAATATAGACTGCGAATTTCTGTGCAAATTTATGTAATATACTTGATATGAGGAAACAGTATAGTATTACAAATTGTATAATAATATTTTAATAGATAAATATATAATAATAATAATATAATATATACTATAATATATAGTATAATATATAGTATATACAATAATAACATAATAATATTATAATAATAATAATAATATAATATAGACTGCGAATTTCTGTGCAAATTTAAGTAATATACTTAATATGAGGAAACAGTGTAGTATTACAAATTGTATATAATAATATTTTAATAGATAAATATATAATAATAATAATAATATAATATATAGTATAATATAATAATAATAATATAATATATAATATAATAATAATAATATAATATAGATAGAATAATATAATATAATATAATATAGACTGTGAAATTCTGTGCAAATTTAAGTAATATACTTGATATGAGGAAACAGTGTAGTATTACAGATTGTATATAATAATATTTTAATAGATAATATTAATAATATAATATAACAACAAATAATAAGTATATAATATTTTAATAAATAAATATATAATAATATAATATAATAATAAATAATAACAAGTATGTAATTATTATAACAAGTATATTATTATCACAAGTTAGAGTTACACGATTACTTTGCGATTCAATTTAATTTCTTCTGCTAAAGTAAAATGGAATTTTGTGTCTACGACTCTCAAGTGGAATTGCAAATAAAATTTACTTAGCAGTCCAAATATTTTAGCAGCCAAAAGTCCAAATCAATCAAAGTTGATCGTCGTCGACAAAGAAATGTATAAATAATATACAAGAAATGTATAAATATAAGAAATATAATAATACAAGAAATATAATAATATAAGAAATAAATAAATATATAAATAACACGTTGCAAACAAATATAATTTATGTTAACATTTATTTTTGATATTTGATATTATTTAATTATAGTTATTTAATTATAGTTAATATTTAATTATAGTTATTTAATTATACTAGTTACTACTTAATTATAGTTATTTAATTATAATTAATATTTAATATTTATTTAAAATGCACAGTGAAGAGAAAAAAGGCAAAAATTGTTTCAAAGAGATAAGTTCAAGAAATGACCGATGACAATAAAGTTATGAATTGTTCTTTGGAACAGGGGTGGTTGCCCTCGAGCATCCACCTTTCCTTCCGGCCGAGGCAAAGCGGAAAATCAAACCGACCCGTGCATTACGTCGTCAGGCATTCTACACGTTCCTCGGCTACGCGAACATCTATCTATACGTGTACGGTAATATCGATCCTTAAAGAGAGCCGCTTCTTTGTTCGTTATCGATTCACTAAACTGACCAATTCTACACGAACGTGTTATAATCGTCATTTCATTTGATAACTTCATTAAATTTTCTACTTGCGTATGTCTTTGAGATTTCATTTGATCGCATCTATTTATCGAATTATATATTACTCGTGAATGTTTAATACCTTGAACTGTTGAATTTATTTTCACCTGATTTGAGATATTCGAAGGATACGAATTTTCATTTCACCGTATGTATATATATATATTTTTTTTTATTCGTGAATATTTAACATATCGAATTGTTGAATTTATAATTATTATTATGTCAGTACAATGTTCGTATTTAATTCATCATTTGAATTCTATTCCTATAGAGAAATTGTGGAATTTTACAAAATAATGGAGAATTTCAGAAAATTGCAATATTCTAATTTTAAAAATACGTCTATGAGAATATGATGTAATAATTAAAATATAATATTTGTCTTACATTTTAACTTTCAAACTAAAAATTGTATTATTTATTAATTATTTCACACTTCAATCAGAAATATTACATTTACGTAGAGCAGTTAATAGAATTCAGTTAATAAAATTACTTATACAGAAATATATTATCAAATATATTATTTCTTGTATTGTTTTTTTTAAATACATTAAATGAAAATATCATAAAAACACATTAAATTGAAAATATCAAGTTTGAGAATCCATCATTTGGTGATGATAGTCGAGTCTTGTTACACGGTTAGGTATTGTGGTATTGTACTTACTGGCTGCTGTGTATTGTCTTGTGTACTGTTTTACTGAACTGTTTTTTTGGACTATTGCGGCACACTGGAGTCGGGCCTTATACAAGCCAACTATCATTGTGTCCTTTCCAGTCACGTGACAGGTGCCATAAGGCGTTTTATGGCCATTAAAAATGGGTCAGTCCTGCAACAGTCCCTCAATTGCATTCTGCTTCTGAAAACGATTTACACATATTTTTTTTTACTTCTCTTCGCAGAACTATAGATACTCTTTTTAATTAATCAACATTGGCAACGTGTAACGCTCTTTTTTGGAAATATTTTTAAAATTGAAAACAACTCTCTTTGCTGGCTGAAACAATTTTTTAGCGCATCGTTTATTATTTGTCACAACGTGTGTATTTATTGATTTTACCGAACAGTCGTATATCATTTTGAAATATGTATTTGATAATCCTTGCATTTTTTTTTTTTTTCTTTTTTGTCACTTGCCACGGAAAACAAGTAGTATTCCTTTTCATTTTTATTTAAAATAACATAACAAGAATATGATACACATATTGGTAGAAATAAATTTTAAACATTGACACCGTTCACGTAATTATTTATATTAATTTCAGGTATTCATCGAATTGCTGCTTAACTTTTTCTTAACTTTCCATTTTTTTAATTGTTAATTTCCATTTTTTTAATTGTTAATTCTTGAAAGAGTCAGGATTTGGGAAAGGATTGGTAACAAGTTTAAATAATTCATTAAAGCCCACGCCTTCAACTATGTCGAAAGGTCGCAGATCTAGAACCATCATTCGAGCAATTCCTTCTGTTATATCTTTTGGTTTAACAATCTTTCGCGCATCATTTTGTACATGCGACAAATTTTATATCGATTCAGTCTCTTTTCCAGTACATGTACTTATGTTTGGATGCATATGCTTCAAATGGCGTAATAAACCAGTAGTATTCGCATACTTCGTTTTAAATTCATGGTAACAACGTATGCATTCCGCCTTTGTATCATCTTTTTCCTGAAAATGTTCCCAAACAGAGCTTCTCTTTACCTTCTTCCTTTGCACGATATCTTCTGCACTACTTCCTGCTACCACAACTTTGCTCTCACTATCACTCGACATTTTTTTTAAAGATTTTTAATCTTTGTTAAATTCACACAGATTTGGAAATATACGTCTGAGCTTCCCGAATTTCTTAACGACACTCCTCAACAGCGTACATAATGTCCTAAGTACTAAGCACGCAGTCACACGTTTGTTTACATCAGGTCACACCATTCTTAGAATCCGTGTTTCCAATAACTTCACTGGCAGAAGAAATTGAACTGTGTATTTACATATTTTGTAGGCTGCTACACAGCATTGTAGAGTAGTTCGAGAAACGGTAGCCGGGTTCTCGAAATTTTCGGGAAACCAGATTCTTTCGGGAATCTCGAAATTTTCGAGTTCTCGCACACCTTTACTAATAAGCTCACAATATCGAAGCGAATTTAACACTATTTGTAAATTGAGAAAATAATTTTCAAAGATTGAACTTCATACATCATATATATATATATATAAAATTACATAAATTATATATTGCATGAAACATTTATGTTATTCATTAAATTAAACGAATTTAATGAATTTATATTTATTTAATAACTAATATTTATGAATCTTCATGCAAATAGTATAAATGTTTAATAAATCTTTATATAAACTTACATTTCGAAATTTATATAAATAAACCTTATTTAAATAAGAACAGTTTCCTTTACTATGGGAAAACTCTTTTCAACTTATCCATATATATATATGTATATATAAATATTCATAATATAAAAATAAAAACAAAAATACAGTGAGGAATAATGTTTAAATACGTAAGCACTCAATTATAAAGAACATTTGAACTTGTTAGAGCGATAACTGATTAACATAAACGCCTGAGAACAATGAATATTTACAAATATCAGGCTTCCTCTTACTTGCGTGGAAACGTTTTTTTTTCTTTTTTTTTTTGTAATACCAAGTTTTAAAAGTTTCGAGGAATAGAACCGAGGATAAATGTGGGAGTTAAAACATTGGAAAAAGGAGAGAGAGAGAGAGAGAGAGAGAGAGAGAGAGAGAGAGAGAGAGAGAGAGAGAAATACCACGCGATGATAAAAATTTCGAAGTTCTGTCGGCTCGGGATATCGCGGATATGTAAAAAATTCAAAATAATTCATAGACTTCAATAACACAATTTCAAAACATACAGTGAAAGAGAGAGAGAAAGAGAGAAAGAGAGAGAGAGAGAGAGCCGGCATTAATATTTATCGTCGTATTCGCAACGAACGATAGAAAAGGAAAAGTCGAGGCTGGAATTTCAAATCATCGATTAAACTCTCAGCTACTTGAATAATGTATAGACGTGGCGGCCGGTTGATAATAAAAATTTTCTCTTGTTAGACGTTCTTTCGCGTTACTTTCATTCATTTAGACTCGCCTGGCTCTGGTGATAAATGGGAGACGAAAAAGGAAAAAGAGAAGAGAAGCGAAGCAAACGCGGAGTGGGGAAAAAATAAAAAGATCACGCAGCTTAAAAAATCTCTATATCTCTCGGAGGTTAAACTTCTCGAGGTTTTATATTTGACGATTAAAACGTTCGCGGCTCTGCTGAAGAGGAATTAAAATTTTCCTAAATTGTCCTTCTTCGACGTTGATCGTTTTTTAGCCACTTTTTAATCACCAATCAAAACCGATTGTGAGACGAAATCGTAGCGGTGAATATACATAAGTGGGTGAATCCTGTTCGTTGTAATTTAGTTAGACACACGTGTGTGAAAAATCACATAGTTTAATGGATACTCTCAATCTGGCTCGATGATAACATCGAGCATTTCCCGTTTCCACTTCGAGGGAAAATCGATTTTAATTAGATAAATTGCCTACTTGCCTTTTCAATTAAAGATAAAATGATGGACAATTGTAATTACAAATTACGTAGCAATACATATTTTATAATTGAATAAAAATCTAATTTATCTACGGAATCATTGCAATAAGTATTCTTTTAGATACTGTAAGCTTTGACACGTTAAAAAAAATGATTAATTCGATAACACTGTTGTAAATATAGAGTGAACAGTAATGTTCGAATATTAATAAAAGTCAGAAAGAGTATATTAAGAATATAAAACTGACTTAAGAATATTAATAATATTTCAAAGCTTTTCAAATATATACATACATACGTATATTTTATCGTTTTATCGTAAATATACATTATATTAAATATAATACAATAATAATAATAATAATAATATATATAAACGAGATATTTACGATAAAACGATAGAAAGACAAAATGTTTCAAAAGTATACAAACAAAACTGCACGCCTAATCGAATCACTCAAGTCTTTCGTAAAATGAAATAATCGCGAGGAAAAAAAATTTGATTACAAAATTATTTGATTACAACAATAAGCGAGCACGTATTTATGATTGGAAAGACTGATTGTTACTCGTTAATTTCGTGCATGTGCACGTTCTTTTACTACAATTCTAATATCGTATGTGCGAGCGCAAAAGATCAACAAACTTGCTAAAGGAAATACGCAATAATCGTGGAAACTTTCTTTTTATTTAGATTTATTTCATTTTCTGTGACTGTTTCAAATTACCGACATTATCCTTGCCTTGAAACTATACCTCGTCACGAAACTGCAAATACTTGGTCGAATTTATATTTTCGTTCATGTGATAGAAAGAAAGGAAAATGTAACCTAAACCTAACCTAACCAAACGTGTCTTATCTCAGTCATTACATATACTCGGAATATTTTGTACGATGCGTTAAACATATCACCTCGTACATAACCTTAAAAACTAACGTCAATTTCTACAATTTGCCACTTGCCGTGTCATTTTCGTTTCTTTCGCGCTCCGCGTCCGAAAACTTGGAAAAAGGAAGGGAAAAAAAGTGAGAATGCATTTACCTAGAATCAAACGGCGTACAACGCATAGCTAATGGAAATTCGATCAGCAGACGAGCGTGTCTATCCGCTTTAAGTGCCACAGGGTCTCTGATTGCGCAGACGGTGAAGCGTGGCTGGCATTCGAGGCGTCTGGAAAAGACAGATCAATATGCCGGGGCTCTGCCGTTTTCCTGCCCTCTCTGTCCCGACCAACAGGCTGTTTCTTTCTCTTTGGCCCAGCTATCGCGCCAGCTGAACATTGGCATTGATTTTCAAAGTTCAGGAAGCGTTGCCCGCCTGGAGAGCCACCTCGCCGACTGTATTCCTCCCACTGTGACCGGGCTACACAACGTTACAATGCTACAGTTTCGTCGGCGCGTCGGTCCGGCCGATCAATACGTTCGATACCGCGTCAATTGTGCGCAGAAAGCGGCGCGGCGTCGCGCAGCTGCCGGAACTTATGATTCCATCGCTTCCGGCCGGGAGGGAGCGCGGGAAAAATATCGACCGTTGTCGAGTGTTGAATTGATCGAAGGAGAGTCAAGAAAACTGTGCAGTAAAATTGTACATATATTGTGAAATTATAAATTGTATATGTATACAATAAATGTATACAGCAAAATTGTACATATATTGTGAAATTATAAATTGTATATGTATGCAATAAATGTATACAGCAAAATTGTACATATATTGTGAAATTATAAATAGTATATGTATACAATAAATGTATACAGTCAAATTGTACATATATTGTGAAATTATATAAATTGTACATGTATACAATAAATGTAAGAGTGAATAGAATAAATAAATGTGAAGAAGAATAAATAAATAGGTATCAGTCTTCGATAATGTAACAAGAGGTTCCAAACTTTTTGAACGATACAATATAGTGTACTATGTAGTCAGTTAATATAGTGAAGAACATGTATAATACTTGGTAAATTATTGACACGTAGCTTTCTTTTTACAAGGAACCCTTCGTTTCCGATTTCGAGCCAAAGGACTCTGAAAAGAAGTTTCAAAAGATTTTTTTTTTTTCCAAGGTTTCGCTTTCTAGAAACCATCCACGACACTTCTGACACGCACTATTTGGTTTACGACATGGCAATTACTATTGTGCGAAAAAGAACTCCTCGCAGTCGAAACTAACCGAGATTTATGGAAGATATCCAGTTGTAAATTCTTCAAGTTGTTAACGCGTGAAGAACGTAAAAAATAAAAATTTCTAATCCTAGGCACGTCCATGTCGCAAGTAGTACGATTTTCAAAGAGAATTGTAAATTAATTATAACAGTGATTTACATTATCGTGTTGATTTATTAATTTCACAATAATACTCGCGATGCATTTTAAAAGAAAGAAAAGCTACTCTACTATATATAGAACCTATTGAAAACAATTCGAAAGAATGGTTGAAGAAGGAATAACGCACGATAGGTTACACATCAACACATATATTTTGCTTTTGCATGTTGCATACATACGATAAACAGTACAGTGTTTACGCGTTCCTCGAGGTATGGTATACTAGAAAATTTCATTATCCACTACTACAATTGCTATTCGACGTATTATTTCGTTACTTCTGCTTTCCTCTGTGTACTTCTGCTGTGTAGCTATCATGAGAGAGAGAATAATCAGTAGAGAGAGAGAGAGAAAAAAAAAAGAAAAAAGAAATCAAACGGAACGAACATGGTACAGCTGTGAGAAACACACTCCGCTCGTAAAGATTCGTGTATATATATATATATATATATATATATATATAATATATACATAATACATTTTTATATTTTCTTCCTTCGTTTCATCTCGCGAAGAATAAAGACTGCGCGTTATTCTTGATGCTTCTTGCTCCTCGCAACGGAAGAACGAAAAATCAGCATGAAAAGAATGATGTACATATCTAACGCAAGAGTTTGGGTTTCTGACCTTTTTTTTTTTTTTTTTTTTAGTTTTCTTTTCCTTTTTTTTCTTGGTCGTCGACAAAAATGAAATTGGACAAACGCGAAACAAAGGGCAAAAGGGGCAGGCTTCTAAACGCTATCATATTTATCCACCGTGAGTTGGTGCAATTATTATTACGTCACTGTTTGATGCAACGAAACGATTATAATTCCTTCCGTGCATCTCCAGTTTCGCTTATCTTCGCCGACTGACAGACAGTAAAAGATAAGACGTAGAAATTAAAAAGAAAAAAAAAATGTGAGAGAGAGAGAGTGAGAAGAAAATGAAAGATCTTTGCTCGAAAATCAACGCATAATACACGCACACTTGCCTGAGAGAATAACGAAACGCGTCCCATTTTTTTTTTTTTTTTCCTAACCGACATTTTCCCCGATTGTTGTCCAAAAATAGTGATCGGAAATTGAGCAAGCGAGCGAGTCTAAAGAAAACGATCGCAAAAAAAAAAAAAAAAAGAATGGATACAGCAGAAAGAGTAAAACGAGCTCGGACGACCAATAGTGGGGTACAACCACGTTGTGTCGATGATGACGTATCAATGCGTCGAGAGGGTGTGAAGGCTCTCCCCGTGACAAATCGATCATTTCGGTGTGTAGCGAACTGAGAATCACAGCGGTGTGAATTTGACGAAATCGCACGAACATTATCGAGATTAATATCGGAATAATTAATCATCTAATATAATTAATTCTACGAAATACGAAAAGAATCATTTGTTTCGTTTACATACCGATACTCGTTCAAACAATGAAAGAATTCACTATTATTTTGTGAATAACGATAGACTGTATACGTAGAAAAAAAAAAAAAAAAAAAGAAGAGAAGAATGGAAACGTTGCATCGCTCAGACGGAAAGAGAGTAACACCGGTTCGCAAAATCGCGGAATACGAGGAGAAACAAACGGAATACAACAACAACAACAACAACAACAACAGGAGGTCGTATCTGCGTGAAGAACCTGACAACTGTGTGTATTCTTCTCTTTCTTCGTGGTACTTCTTTGTCCTTCTTTTTTTTTTTGGTCTTCTTCCCCCTTCTCCTGTTCTTTCGTTTTCTATGAACGTTATTTATTTATTTATTTTTTTTTTTCATTTTTGCAAAAACGGGGTAAGTCTGTATAATAAACCCTTTTTTTTTTATCTTGAACGAGTGCTTCGATTTAACTTTGATATCGAAGGTAGGAACTACCTGACTCACTAAAAAATATCACGTACAGCCTTTGTAAGTATTGCTACGATCAATTGTGCTCTTTTCAATTTCAGCTTTCTTTTCTTGTTTTTTTTTTTTTTCCTCCTTTGTTCGCTTGCATCCCTCGCTCTGTTTTCAATGTTTTTCCCCCCCTTTATCTTTGCTTTAAACCTTTTGCTACGATAGACAAATATCGTGTAACAATTCGTTGAGAGTGTATGTACAAGTCTTTCTATTACATTATAATCATCAACACGTTGCTCGCTACACCTGGTAGTTCATTACTTTTTTGCGAGAAACAAACATTCTTCATGTGTGAAATAGTCAATTAAATTAATTAATTTATAGCGTATCGTTCACTTAAAAAATTAGAAGAAAAGGCTATCATATACATAGCAATTAATGCGTTAATTATATAATTACATAGTTGATGGAAGGGATATAGCGAGTTTATAAATTAAGATATTAATCCCTTGCCTTACAATTTTCTATTTTATTCGCTGTTATTAATACTTTGTTCAAATGTGAAATATTGAAACATGGTACGTAATTTATAATTTGATAATCCCTATTGAAGAAAAATGAAAGATCAAGTCTGACGCTGAATTTTACACTTTACAACGGTGTTAACATTGAATTTTATTGCAAATGGTAGTTTTTGTCAAATAAGCACTTGATATAAGGCAAGAGATTAAGCAGAGACACTGATCAATGTAGCCACATCCAAAGCCATACACATCTTATAAAAAGATCTTCAACTTCAGACTATGAATGTATTATTTAAAATTGTGAATTTAATACAACATTTCTAATATGCTATGAAAAATAGTAAATAAGTGTACGTATTTCTAGAACCTGCCTTTCAGGCTATCATGTACCATATAAATATTTTTTTTTAATGACCTTTCTGATCAATGCATGTCAGACACAAGTTTATCACAATTTTGTCTGCTTGTGCAAGCAAAAGATTATAATTGACTACAGCTTCTGTTCTCCATCAGTACAAAACCTTGAAATTGACAATTATCATAAATAACAATACAAAGCACAATAGTAAAGTAATAAGCAGGCAAAATCAAATTTACAAAATGCGAGTGTGTACAACATGTAATTTGCAAATGACGCAATACCACAGAGATTGACTATGTCGTTTCTATCAACTGCACTTAAACCGCTCACATCCACATATCTCTCCCCGTTGACAAAATGTATCGCGAAGGGCAAGAATTTCATGAAGTTTTAATTCATGAACTGCAAACACTAAACCGGTACTTGACACGCTACAGTACGGCTACAATTCTTTCAAAACTTAGAGAATAGTAAACAATCCAATTTGTTACAGAGAGAGAGAGAGAGAGAGAGAAAGAGATAATTGATAAAAATTACTCAGATCTGTATCGCTCAAAGAGCACTGTCGGGTCCCGATGGTGTATCATAGCAAAAGGTTTAATCAATGTGTTCGCTCTTTTCCACCGTATTTAGTCGCTCAGCATTCTCTCACTCTCTTTCATCGAAATGTTTTTCCTTTTGCACGCCTACATAATAAATTTGCTTATGCTAACGCAGATAGCCTCTAAACACTGGGCTGCCTCGATCGCGCGTATTCACCGTATTCGCGTGTCGAAGCAACGTGCGATTCGAAAAAAAAAAGAGCGCCGTTGACCAACAGAACAACTACCGAGTTCCTCAAGTTCCGCCGGAAAATCAGAGATCCAATAACAGAGTACGAAGCGTCTCTGGATAGAAACTTGAGCTCTACGCGAACGCATTGATTGTTTCAGATCTCCGCGCGACTTCGCCCTCCCCTCCTCCCCAACTTTATTATTGTGCCAAATCCGTTTTGTACAAATATATACAAAATGGAGCCGCGTGTGTAAACTAGCGTACGCGGGATCCTCTCGTTTGTCAGGGGCGGACAGAAGAACTCGCGAGAGGATCCCCGTACGTTAGCGAGAGAGAACAACGTATGTATATGTATATGTATATATATATGCATATATATACACATATATATGCTCGCATTACATTTTCCTTTTTCCTCGGTTTCTCGTTTCGTTTCGTTTCTTTCCATTCCCCCCCCCCCCCCCCATCCTCCGCTTTCTTTCTGTGTTCTTCGTCTCTCCTCTTACTTTATTTACTCCTTTTCGCTTTCTTTTTTTTTTTTTACTCCTTTTTACGTTTTNTTTTTCTTTTTTTATTTCGGATACCATCAGACGTGTCTTAAAAAAGAGATTTCGCGATTTTTCTTTTGGTCGCAAAAAAAAAAAACGAGAAAGAAAAAAGAGAAAATGACGAGAGAAATGAACAAAATGCGATCGAACATCTTACTGTTTGTTTTTTTACATAGACGTACGGTTGTTTTTTTTTTCCATCCCTTGTAACGTTTCAAGAAGAAAAAAAATAAAAAAATAAAAATAAGAAAAAAGAAGAAATAAGAAAGAAAAATAATTTAATAGTAATAACGTGCAAAACGAATGTAAGTTTCCTTTCTCTTTTTGTACATTTAAAAATGGTTACTCCTTTAGTCCATAAGTTTTATTAATAATAATGGTATGTACACATATACACAATGTACAGAAAAACCCGTACGCTGGGTCTGAACATGTCCGCCGTATGTTTTTTTTTTTTTTTTTTTTTTTTTTTCTTTCTTCGTTTCCTATCATACAACGAGTGTGTAGGTAGCAAGTAGTAGAAAGAGTATACAAATAAAAGATTAGAAAAAGACGACCGATCGGGGATTTGCCCTCGACAGGTGTTTTTTAGAATACCGAAGCACGATACTCTCTCTCCCGACTTCAGTTAATCCGCGATCACGCGACACAGCGTGTGTAAAAATAAAGTACCATACAACCGCCTGATTTCAATGGAATCCGTGTTTTATATTACGTATATGTGTTTTATTTATGTTTATGTTTAAATCGTATGTATGTTGTATGTAGAGGAGGCATCATGATGATGATGATAACGATGACGATGATAATGGTGATGATGATCGTGTAGATAGGTATGTATGTATATAGTGTGTAAAACATATATCTTCTGTATGTGTGTTTTGTTGTACTTCAAGAAACGCGAAAATGTTCGCGACACAAGAAACAATAAAGAAAGGCAATCGAGCCTAAGTACAAACCCAAACCGGACACAAAAATCTCTCTCGCGGTTTCCCTTAACGTTTATTCATATATATTCGACAAGAACCATTTTATTTTTATTCTCCTCGCGCATTAACCGTTCTATGATTATCCCATATATACACGTGTGCCGAACGCCAGCCAGCATGTCAAAAATTGCCAAAGACTTCTTCTCAAGACCAGTCAAAAACAATTGTTCGTTGAAGAAACGAACGAATGATCGATCGAAACAATCGGTGTTGCCTCGGTGAACAGAAACCCCCAGCGAGCACGCATCGCTGAAAAAAAATCGTCCACTTTCCCCGACAACAACTTCAACAACTTCGTTATTTAATTCCAATTTACACCGACAACGTCTTTGGCTCGAATCGAATAATGTTGGCAATATCGTTGCCAAACATTTGTCACTATTACCAAAAAAGTATTATTTTTTTGGTTGAACCTTCACGGTTCCACCAATGATCAACCCTCGTCGAAGAGGGTGCAAAATTTGAGACCCGTTTTAAAACAGCATGAGGATCTTTAAGTTTCTCTCTCTTTCTTTACTTTAAGCCCAGAGCCTGTGGTGTCGTCACCCAAGATAGTGGCTATCTCGCCTTGCATAAACGCCCATGGCACCTGGCTGTTTGCCAGTGGACATTTCTCTCCACTTGGGCAATAAACCTGAAACAATTGGAATTAACGGAGGATTAGATTGTTAGGTTAAACGACGATTGGTTCGTTTTAGATCTCGTGGAATGATATTTCACCTCTGAGCCAGCACCCTGTCTCTTTATGCTCTCTCGGCTACAAGGGAAACAGAATTTGTGATGTGGTACGCTGGGACACTGAACGAAATGTGTGTCCTCGAGACGTTCTTGACACAGGGTGCACTTTAATATCGGCGCTGACACTTGCTCGGCTCCAGCGACTTGTGCGACTGCTCCTTCCGATGACGTTGTCACTGTTGTCGACGACACGTGCCTTGAACCACTGGACCTCCTACCCGAGGATGCTGCAAACGTTTAATACACACACAATTTAATTCAACATAATTCCTATAGTAATATTATACTTAGTGGCAATTAATTTTCAATTTGTATAATTCGGTCATTTGAATTCGATTCAAAGCTATTTAATTTTGAAGCATGTAATTTTAATTTGTATTATAATTGTATAAATGTATAATATTGTCTTCAATATTATAAAGTGTAAAATTTGAAAGCCCAAAAATACAAATGAAGAAACAGAGGAAAAAAAAAGAAATTACCTGTACTGTTCGGGCTATGCTGCGATCCTCTGGAGGCACTGCGTTGCTGAGCGTTAGTCGCCGTGGTCGGTGGGCTTCTGCTGGTCGGGCTCGGGTTATTCGGTGGTTGTGGTACTGATTCTGGCGACGCTAAATTATCAGCGACTGACATGAGCGCAGCCATTGGTGACGGGCCATTTGTCGAACCCTAAAAGATATTTCTATCGATATACGTATCGAACAACATACAAATGATATTGAATGGCTAATCAACAATATTTTAGCTAACCAAATATATATATACAGGGTGGTCACTGAAACACTGAATGATATAAAATAAAAATAACTTTTACAAACACGTTTCTTAAATTTTTCATTATTTTATTTGGAAATGCATTATATTTTATTTGGAAATGCATTATATTTTATTTGAAAATTAATGGATTGATTAATTAATTTCTAATATTTATAAATATTAGGATATTTTATTTGGAAATTAATGGATTAATTAATTAATTTCCAAGGGATGCTCTATAACCTACAAAAAGAGAAAATAAAAAAGAAAATTAACAAGTTATGACTTTCTCAAATCCTTCAGTTTTTTCAGTGGCCACCCTGGTATATAGCTACTTCTTTTCGATTCATCTGCTACTATTTGATGCGATAGTGTAAGAAATTTCAAGTAACCTAATCTAAAGTATTGTAATCACGTTACCAGCCAACGATATCAATTGAGAGTTAAACGTATAAACAAAGAATCCTTAGACGAGTATCGTTATCTCTGCATTCGCACACGTGGTTCGTTAACATTTGGAGCTTGATTACCTGGTGATGGTTCGTCTGTGGATTATCATTGGAGGCTTCCTGAGCCGGTGGCGGCGGTGGCGGAGGGCTCGTTCGCGGGCGAAGAGGAGACCCTCCGCCGTTTGCCGCCACATTTGCTGGTGCCAGCGGGATAGACGGACCGACATACGCCCCTGAAATTCGAAATCAATCGTTTAACATTCCATTATCCTTCCATTGCAGCAGAACAAATTCTATTTCTACGTTTAATTGAAATTAACGTGACCAAGCGCGATCGTCAATCGTGAAAATACGAAAAAAAAAAAAAAAGTGAGACATAACCTATAAAGCATCGTCTCGTACAAGAACAAAGACTCAAATGGATCATTGAAAGACAGAAATAGATATCCTTTCCCCCTCTTTCTCTCTCTCTCTCTCTTTCTGTTCCTTCTTCATAGAACGAACAACAACGTCGATGCGATTATGCTAATTGAAACGAGTGTACACTTTTGTCGTTCGTTGGTCGCATCGAGGGCAGGAGACGAGGCGCAAAAGCCTCGTTCTTCGATTCTTATAAATAGGCTGACAATAGTGGCACGCGGATATTCGACCGATTTTCCAACAAGCCTAGAAATCAAAACGAAAACAGCTGCTGTCCGTTAAGGCTCGATTAGGTTAGCTCGGACGTTGCCGTGGAAATTGATATTCCACGAGAGAGTCCGCCGATCGAACGACACATACAAGACGTGCCCAGCTGTGGACGAAGTATACAGCTTTTCGTGACTTATTTGCTTTCACAAGCGTGCGATTGTCGCCACTGATGCTCTCATGCCTCGATATAGTATATACTTGTAGGACACACCACGTCGTGAAGTTACGCATTCTGATATTGTTTACGAACAGTTTCTACATCATCCTGGGTCACTTTCAATGATAAAATTATTAACAGGCGACACGTGCGCTATTTGTACGTTCATTTACTATATACGTAAATACGAGTATACGATATTTATTGATAGTACGCACAGGCCATCAAATTTCTGACATATCGGTTCGACAATAAATACAGAAAATAAGATTCTTCGTTAATTATATGTTAAATATATGTTGCAATTGTTTTCAGTTATGTAAATACAATTACTGCAAAATTATCATTCGATGATTAAAATGTAGTCGCCAATCTTCGAATTTTTAATGAAATTTAATTTTCTATTGAAAATAAGCATTGAGTAATTGGAATATTCACAAAACGTATTACAATCGTTGTTCTTTGTATATTTTTATTGTTGTCGCAAAATTATAATTCGATTACGACTGAGAGATAAATTATTTTAAATATTGGAACATAACCTCTAATACTCCAAAATAGAAATCAAGTGAAAGACAAATTTTTATGAAATATGTTTCAATCAATTATTTTTCCTCGCATTATTGTTATTATTATTACAATTGGAAATGTTCTAAAATATTGTTGGACTTGTAAGCAATAATAATTTTAGATATGTAGTGACCTCTTGGATTGAAATACCTTCAGAACGATATTAATCGATAAAAAATACTGTAAGTCACGAAAAATCGTGCGATACTACATTATTTTTATATTGCTAATTTTCTTAAAGTCGTTTATTAAAGTAACATATATGCGCGCTGATAGTTAATATTTAACATTTCATAAAAATACAATTCGCTTCCTCGTTTAAAAGTGCATTCTCCTCCTGCTTAATCGATTATACATTAAAAAAAGAACGAAACAAAAGGTCAACGAACAACGAACAAAAGAGAAGCATATTCCACTGAATTTATTTTATTTAATGACGCGCCTATCTATCTATAGGACCTTTCGTAGTATAATAGCATCAATTGTATCAATTTTACATAACATACATACATACATACATATATATATAGAATTATAATATAAAAACGTCCTGTTGCCATATTAAAAAAAAAAAAATTATAAAAATATATTTACATTTTATGTAAATGACATACTTGTATCAATGTTCTCTGTGCAAATAATTCCACAAAAGGATAGAGGACGAAAAAGTGTAGTGGAACTTCTTTATCTAAACACGCTGATTATTCGTACTTGGAAGCCACAAGCTTCGACGAACGGGGACGATTTCCACACACCGTGGCGATCTCATAATTTTACTCTGCTGTTCTACGTACGTATCACGGTTATCAACGATCACGCTACGCAACGAAATTTACTCGTGCGTCCTATTGTTTTTCCTAGCGCGATGTTTACGCGTTTTCATATACGCAAGAAACGCATTCTCCGCTGGCATGAGCAGATAAGGCTCGACCGATCGATATTAAAGAAAGAAGCGTTCGGTTTCGTCACGTCTTCTATGAAGGACCCTGACACGCGATATCTCCCCGTCGAGTAGTACACATCGAAGAGTAGCAAGCCTTGTGTATATTTCAGTGGAACGCAGCATCCGCGCACGTATCTCCCCCTCCATGAATCGACCCCAAGAATACGAGTCACCGAGATCTCGACTAGAACGTGGTCTGCCATCGGGAAGACGTGTGACCGGTACTTTTCCGTGACGACTGTGATAGAGAAGCCGAGGACCGTTGGCGCGTCTCTCCGCTCCACTCTATCTCGCTCCATCTATTTCTCGAATCGTACACGAAGGAAACGTAACACACAGCCAGCAACAGCAGCAGCAGCAGCAGCAGTAGCAAACTCCTGCTATATAACGCGGAGAGTAAACGAAGGAGAACGACGACCACCGAGGGGCGGTGGGAGGAGGGAGGAGAGGGCGAGCGACCCGAGGAAAAGAAAACGCATGCGCGGTTTTGTAACAGGCATCGCATCATGCACGTAGGCGGCCCCGGCTTAGTCACACTCTGCACTTTGTATTATCGCTGCTCTAACCGGTCGACTGTAGTGGCCTTGTTTCGAAAGTATGACCCTCCCAAGCGCTTCGTTGACGCCTCGTCAATGCGCGCATTTACGGCTGACGTCTCTCTACACAGGCGTCCCGAAATGTTTATTCTTAGGTTACCATTTCCTATGAACTCCTGTAGAAGCTCTAACCTTGGACGGATCGCGGTCACGAAATCGAGGGGGAGGGGGAGGGGAGAGAACAATACGTTTTAGCTTCGCAGCTAGTCAAAATATTTACAATATCGTTATCTCTGAGTAACAAGTGCCGAGTATATTTTGCGCTGAGGTTCGAATATATATATATATATATATATAACCGGTGAAAATAAAACATTCATTAATTTTGGTACGCAAAGTAAAATCGTGTGGTATGCCAGACAGACAGCTAGAACGCCTTTTTATCTATAGTGTCATAAACGCGATATAGTCCCGTATCGTATCGGACTGAAGTTGTCACGTGTTTTGCAACACCTTGTATATGTGGCGCGGCGAAGAGAGACGTGAACACGAACGCGATACTCGTCCAGTGACGTAGGACGAAACCGATATGTGTATGTGTATGTGTGTGTATATACATATACATACATACATACATATATACATACACGTTCTATCTGTACGCGATCGATCGAGCATAGTCGAGAACTCGCGAACCGTGGCGATCATTGCGAAATACGACTGAAGCTTGCTCTGCTCTCGTTACTCAGTTACTACCGTTGCCGGCGTAGCCTGTCATTTCCCTCGCATGCACGCGTATCACTCTACTACGTATACATGTTGTTTCAAATCGATTCATCGAACGAAGAAGAGAAAACGTTGATAACCATTTTTCGGCGTCGTTGGTATCGTTTGAAAAACTGATTCACAATAACGACATTAACCTATTGACGGTTCCGATATTGTAACCTACTTCAATTAATGATACAATGTACAATTTTTAAATTAAAAAGAGATTTTTTGATATAAGTGAATAAATTTTATTCTTAAAAAAAGGGACTGATGTTTTCCGGCAACGAGAATTAATTCAGTCAAAAGTGAAATAAATATATATATTGGATTATAATTCAAAACTGCAGCATATACATACAAATTAGATTATTTGATGTAGGTTATTTATTTGAAAAAAAAAAAAAAAAAAAATTACTGTATCGAAAATCAAGCATTTTATACGTTTATTCTTCGTTAAAAAGAATAGCAATGCTTTATGTACTCTGAAGAGGCACAAAGTGACGAGAGAGAACGTAACGTGCACGAAGTGAAATGAGCAATAAATTTAAGTAGCTAGAGAGGGAAAATATCACACGAGCGGTCAGATAATTGCGCGTAGAATTATACCAACCCGACTGTTTTAATACGATAAGGATATACGAGGATGGTACGGGTGATACTCTCGACGCTTATAAAAATAATTGAAACACAATAATCTCCTCTATGTACATGTTTCAAAAACTGTACGATATTCGATTTGAAATTATTAAAAAAAAAAAAAATACTACAAAAATACATCTGAGAAACCAACAATTAATTTTATATGGAAAAATAAATTTAAAACTACATGAAAATAATTTGAAGAATTTACGCTAACAATGAAAGAGTAAATCAAACGAAATTTAATAAATTTTTAATCTCTATCATCACTGTCAAATATTGTTTCCATTGAGATCGTGAAAATCAAAACAAGATGAAAGATTGTTTTTTTCATTTTACAAAAATTGACTGAAAATCCATGTTTATTTCCAGACTCTAATCTTTGCTAGCGATAATCTATTTTTATCAAAACGCGCATACGTAAACGAAAATCTTATCTCTCCAACGGAAACGCTACGACTAAAGACAAAAAAAAAAAAAAAAAAAAAAAAAAAAATTAAAAAAAAAAAAAACAAAAATAAATCAGTATGTAGCAGCGAATTTTGTATAGTTTTACAACCGCGAAGTTACTCAGGCAGGCAGTCCAGATATATTTACAGCCATGGCCAGACTTCTACGTTTCGCTTGAACCTTAAAGGCAATAATCTACGTACATTCCTCGATTTCTAACGTAAAAGGTCTCCATTTTACATTTTTCTAAAACAAATTTTTTCAAAAAAACTCGTTCGACTTTTCAACCGATCGTTAATCAGGATTTAACTGCTCTACCAACAAGTACCTATTCCAAAACAGATAGCCGAGAGGTTATTAAAGTTTGGTAAAATTAGCGTTTTATTTTTCTTCGTTATTACACAATTTCCTTCATTAATTCGGCACACAATACTTCTTCAAATAACAATAATTTGAGACTTGAATCGAACATTATTGCGAGCTTTCACAAAATGATGAGACTTTTCTCTGTCAAAAAATTGCACCGTGAGAAACATTAATATATTTTTTTTTAGTTTAAACAAAACGATAAATCACAGTAGTTTCGCAGAATCGCGAACATGTATGTACTAAACATTCGTTCCGTACGAATGAAAATTTTCCAGGAAATATTTATAGCGAAGAGTGCAAGGCGACAGGATGGATGGCCGTCTTGCAGTGACTGCAGCATGCCGCCATTGCCGCCGCCACTCGATAACCGTAAACACACGCGCGTTAAGGTCGAATTAGAAAGTGGCCAGTGTCGAAATAACGGTCGATGACCAAGGTCATCCCGGCTGTACGTTGGTACACGTACACGGGGGCAGCAGCAGCAAACACACAAACACCAGGCTTTCGAGCATCGTCAACCAAACTCTCGTCAATGAGCCACGTACGACAGAAAGGAGCGCAAGAAAAAAGGGGGCCACGCTACAGTTACCTTCGCGAAAGAAAATGAGAAAAAAAAAAAGAAAGAAAACGCGCACAAGATCAACCGGTTTTTGAAAGTATTGCGCGCAGTATTCAATCAACAAGGGCAAAAAATAATAATTCACGAAAAAAAAGAAAAGAAAGCTGTACTTTCTACGTGTAACATTGAATACAATTCGAAAACTTTTACTATGCGATATAAATTATTATAGAACATAATACATTGTATGTTATAGTATTATAATTGTATATTGTGCATTATATTATTGTATAATATATGCAACATTGTCGGTTGCCTACAAAGTACATGATCCACGTATTTTTAAAAGGAGATCGGTCGTCTGGCATGTTACTACAATCCAGAAGCGAAATTACATTTGTAAAATGTTCGCAACGGCTGACGAGATTTGTATTGAGCAACAACGGACTCATTCATTGTATCTAAATATACCGAGTGACGTCATTCGATCGGACGTCACGGCACAATACGGCACGGCAGGCTCGGTGTATCTTTTGGTCGTCCTATCACGTGCTCAACGTACACGTCTCCTTTACGCGTTTGGACGACTGCCGTTCGTCCAGAATGAAGGGACTGCGGCCGAAAGAAAAACTAGGGAAGAAACGCGCGCTGATTCGCAGCCGCAAGGCAACGCGCGGCCGATACAGAACGGGAGGAGAAGAGAGAGAGAAAGGACAACACGCAACGTCCATTTACCGTGCGCGGATGATTCCCCCGAAGCCCAAAGGCTGTCTTTTAACTCGTGCACGCGCCCGGCTGCCTGCTCCCTTCTTCTCGTGCCAGATGGCCACGCGCATACTACGACCAAACATTTTCCTATTTTTACTACTGGCCGATAAGAAGAACAACCGAAGGGGGACCATCTGTCGCGAAATGAAGGAAAAAAAGAGGAAAGAAAGATGTGTAATAGATTTTAACAATGATGGAAGAATGTTCGACGATATGTCTACATATATCATTGGAAAAGAATATCATTCAATCTGTCTTTCAAAACAATGCGATATACACACCCAACGACAGTGACTATGCGTAACTTCTACAAAAATAAACATTGTAGTCGTAAATAATTTTAGGTGGAGATCAAGGACTGTGGTAGACGAGAAGACCGATGAAAAAAAACTGGACAAATTCGAGAGATCAGGGCCATTCGACTCACCGTTCGTTTTGAACGTGGTGGCGGTCTCGAAACTAGGCGCCCTAACAGGATGCTTCTCCTTGCTTCTATCCTGGACGTAACTGACGGCGAGGCTCACAGCTGGCAAAGAATCGCCCCTGGTCAATGGCGGCCTGACCGAATGCTGCTCCTCCAACGAGAGCCTCTTCTCGGCGTGCTCGTCCTCGTCGATAGTCGAGATACTTCGCTTGAGCTGTGCGATGCCTCTGTTATGGCTGAGGTTTACGTGATGCGCCACCGCGGCTAGGTGGGCGTTCGGAATTCTCACGTTATTGCTCCTCATGCCGTTCGCCATCTCGTGGGTCTCGTCGTGTTGTCGCGAGATTTGCTGCCTCGACGTCGCAGAATTGAACTCGTTTATGGAGTTCCGGTGATGGAGCTGCGAGTAGCCGGCGATGTTGTGATGCCTCGAGTGATTCTGTCCGGTGTTCTGTATCGGCAGAACGTCCAAATTAGCACCGCCGTTATGCTCGGTGTGCCCGGTCGTTCTGTACGCCTTCGACGTCGAGGATCTGGCCTCGTGGAAGCCGTGTGCCTTTTTCATTTGTTTCGCCGATTCCAGTACAGCGTCTATCCGGTCGGCGCCCTCGTAGTTCACGCAACCGCGGCACACGGGTTCCGAAAATTCGGTGATCATCGCCCAGGGCATCCTGGGCAGATCGCACAAGTAGCACTGCGTTCTCTTTCCCATCATTTTGTTGCTCGACTTCTTCGTCCGCGAGTAATCCGCAGAGTCGTCACCGTCGTCACCGTCACCGCCGCCGTCGTCGTTGTCGTCACAACGTACCAACGTATCACTCACATCCACTTTTCTTTTCACGTCTATTATCCTGTTTCTCGTTTTTTCGTTACGTACCCCTCTCACGCACTGCTGAGACGCACAACGTATCGGTTTTTACAGCATACTTGGCGCGAGTTACCGTCGCTAACCTCTGTGTATGTAAATAACACACCAACAGGAAAAAAAAAGAAAGATGAACTTCACTGCCGAGGAGCACACTTGAGGTATAATCCCACTGTCTCCTTCACGTTCTCCTTTTCACTTCGTAAACGTCGTAGTAGAGAGATCTACTGCACAAATCTGCACGCAACGACGGAATAACGCTCGAAAGATAGTTTATTACAGCCGGATCTCGGCGAACGTGTTAACATCAACGCAAAGTGAATGGACGCGCCGTAAAGGCAGAGAACGAAAAAAAAAAAAAGAGGAACACGGCGCACGTTACTCGGACGCCAGATATTATTTTTACCACCGACTTCACTACTCACCGCAGGTAAAAGACGCCAATCGGGAGCGACTAACAACGATCGAGCGCCATTAGCACCAATGCACCGAATGATACGCGACTCGCCCCGATACGTGTTACAAGGGGAGAGAGACCTGTGTATTCTAGGTTGAACACGAGACACGAAAATAATGGTATGCGCGCGACACGGACGACGTGTGGCACTCGCTCGCCTGCTGGTTGCCGTACGAGGAGACGAACGGAGACGAACGCTCGAGAATGCGGCGGTAAAGCGGAGCTATGGGTGTCGCTCTCTTCCCTCTCACCGGTCCCTACCTTCGCCTTCCTCCCCCTTCGCCGCTCGACTGCCTCGCGTCGCCCCTCCGCCCGCCGCTACTCGACACAACGCGACGACGACGACACAACGACGGCTACGACGCGCTCCGCCAATCGGGCGTTGTGGCGTCATGGTGCATGACGTCATAATCGCGGAGCTGCGCATGCGCACCGCCGTCTGCCCTAGGGGGACACGTAGTCAGCGACCGGGACTCGAGCGCGAAACAGACGCGAGGGAGAGAGGAGGAGGAGAAGAAGAAAAAAAGATGACGATACACGCGCGCGCACTCGGCGCTCCGTGCCCACTCTTCGGCAACGAGAGGTCCACTTTACACTCTGAGAAAATGCTGTTAACGAACTGCTCTTCGGTTTTACTGAATACGGACAGAGGATCTTATAAATTTATCGGCGGATTAAAAATTGACGATTACTCAGCCGACTGGCTGGGTATCCTCGTGCAGAGGTTACGTTTGTTTCTGCATTTAACTTTCCGGTCGGGTCTAACGACGTAGAATCTCACGACGCGTGCATAGTATATAGGTGCGTGTGTACGTACGTGTGTGTACGTGCATGCACGTAGAAAAATTGAAAAGGGCTCCACCCATTCTAATCTACATGCTCGAGGAGTATCTCGATTTTTAGTACGCCTCGGGTTAACATGGCGCCGGCCAGTGGATACAACTGTATCTCGTCCTTGTTGGTTTAATTAACAGAATATGAACCGGAATCTAAAATCCGATTACGCTCTAATTGTGCCCCGATGTTTGTTAATTACTTAGAGACTGAGACAGTGCAACACGTACAGGCACGTGCGCTAAATGCTATTTACTGTCTCGTGACTACCTGTATATATATTCTAGTGTGTATATATACAGTTCTGAGCGTTTGGCTACATATTTGCAACATAATTAACGTTACACTATACACACCGTTGCATAATAATTGGAGTTTTATTCTCGACGATGTTTACGTTTACGGACACAATTGTATCAATCGTCTCATTTTGATTTCCTCTTGAATTGCATCAATACAGTTCCGTTACACGTGTGTCGCAATTTTTTTTTCTTTTTTTTTTTTTTAATCATACTTCATATCGTATTTATATTAATTTATATATTATAGCTTTCACGCTGCGTTACTTTTCAACATCAATTTCTCGTATCGCGTTTCGCAAGCTAATCTGCGAACCTATTAAAACGATAATTTTTCAATTTCACTTGACAATCATCGCTTTAATCTTTTATATAACAAACGTAGAATTCCGAAAAAATTCCATTCGAGAGCAATTGTAGAGAAAGAGAGAGAGAGAGATATCGTAGAAACTCGATTCTCCCGCTTTTTTTCTCTATTCTCTCCCGTGGCAATCTTAACGCCGTCGTTTCATCAATTTAATCTTCTTTATCGTAATTGCTGTTCCCTGTTGATCAACGACTCCGATTCGACGGCGAGAGCTTATGAATTGCAATCTTGAGATGCACTCAAGCGAAATTGCTTGAGCCGAACGGTATAAACAATGAACGTTCGCGGCGAGTCCGGTGATTCGCGTAGCGGCGTGCCAATTTTATCGGGTTTTCTGTCGCGATAACGTTCGCAGGAGGCTTGGCATCCACAATAGATAGTTCGGTTATTGACAAGCGTTGCTGTCGTTAATACAGCACGTAATGGAACCTCGGAGATTATGCTCTACAAATGCTCTCGTTGATAAATCCGTGTCGTTGAACTCTCTGTTTCTTACCGATCGGTGAGCCACGTACAAATTTTATTGATTGTCGTGCCGACAGCATAAATCTCGCACGTACGCCGTGCTTCGCGCAACAGCTAAAATTTAAAGAGGGAAAATAAATTCCCCCCCCCCCCCCCCGTGTAGGAAATGATATCGCAAAGAGGAGAACACGATTAGATAGCAACGCTTTATCAAGGAACGTGTTAAATTATGTGATTATTGTTTCGCTCGCGATAGCATCTTCTCGTCATCCGAGTGCGTGATGTCGAAATCGATTTTATATCGCGCGTTCGTATTGAAGCGCGATAAAAATTCACGTAATCTTTGGAGGGTATACGTTATACGCGTGTGTCGTTTAATTGGCACTTTTTTCAGTTCTAACTATTTGGGAAATAGTCTCTCTATCGGCTTAACATACGGGAATAACGAGAGGAGAGACTGAGAAATATACGAGCGCGATATTATGCATATTTATGAATTTGTGTATCTTTTCTTTTTCGTCGTGCATTTAAAAGCAAACATGACTGCAAATTATTAATAATCTCGTCGCGTGCGTACATATGGCAGAGTAGTTCTCCAATCAACAAATATCGAGTATCTACAGAGGAATGACATCATTCTGACATCATAGGAATGCAAACTTTAAACGTAATGGTGCAGGCAAAAAAATTTTAATGCACATGTTACACAATCTACGCGAACTGAAACGGGGAATATTGAATAACTGCATAGTTTTGGTTTGAAAGTATACGTGCTACGTAATAAACACATGTCAGTTTCTACTATTGGAACACGATCGGAGTAATCTTTCGCAGCCAATATTATTATCATCCAATGTTATCAGCGCAATTTTAAAACTTATAAACTATCGCTGGTAATAAATTTTCTTGCATAATAACGACAATCTTGACAATAAAGTTAAAATTAAATGAAATTATATGCGCGCGAATATATTATAAATCAACAAGTCAACTGAATGTAGTAACTTTACTGACACACAAAACTTACTGCAAAATTTAATAAGAAAATTCGCAAACTAACTATGCAGAATAATATTAGCTGTTATTAATTACTAGTGACTATTAATTACTATCGAATCTATAAACTGGTATTACTGATAATAAGGAAAATAAAAATTCTACGATCAATAAAACGTGTAAGAATGTGTATAATTATCTAAAATTAATTTCCTGAGATATTTCTATCTGTCGATTCTCTCAAAAATCGTTATCTAATCATTATCTTTTGCAGAACGTGTTAATAACAAGACTAAGAATTAATAGAATATCCATTACTATAAATGTATCCGGTAACTTGGTAACTTTTGACAGGTTTATGTAAATGATAGAATTGTAATTATCGTGCGTGAAGATTGTATTAATGAAGAAAATGACAAGTCACATTTTTCATTATCTGCAGAAGAGTGATTTTAAAATTCATTATGTCAAAGTTATCTTTCCGTTTGACTGCGAAATCAAATATACAATCTGCCTTAAGATATTTAAAACGCATTATTGATACTGATCAAGTTAAACTAATACGACAACTGAATACAATTCAGTTTTCTAAAAGCGGAGTCGTGGATTTATTTTCAAAATTTATAATATTAATAAAATTTATATCTCGGTACAATTACTCTCTTCTTTAACAATTTCATATTGAAATATTCTTTTTAATCGAGAAAATCAACAAAAAATTAGCTCATCGTCATTTATGCCGTGCAATATTATCCTATTATGGTTTGACTGTTTTTTAAAAATCTATGCTCACATAATCAGTGATATTTAGTGTAATATATTAGTAGATTTATACAAATTAATTTATTATATTCTGTCACTAGTAATTAGTAATATTATTATATTACTAATTAATTTATTGTTATATATTATTGTATTATATTATATTATATTATTAGTAATATTATATTACTAATTAATGTATTGTATTATATTAATTTATTATATTATATTAGCAATATTTATTAGCTCGTTAGAATATAACTTATTAAATACTGTAGTAAAACTCGCCATTATACAAGATATTAAAAAATATTTTCTCGTAAAATAACAATCGTTCAAAGTTGATAATTAGAGGAGCAGGAATACTCCTGCGAGTTGCTATACCATTACTGAAAATCGACTGAAGCGGCTACGGATACTTGTGAACTGAAATGTACATAATGTACTGGCCGTCCGTACAATATGTCAAACAACCGGTCGCGGATTTGGCCAACTGGTAATTTTAACACCGGTTTGTCGATAACACACGGCCGTGTGTAAAGCTTGGAGTAGTTCATCAATGGTTAAGCTTGCTGAACACCTGAAACGCATCAAAACGATACATACGTCTATTTACAGTGAGGGACGAACAACTTCGTCACTCGGTTCACTGATGCGATTTTATTCCATTAATCCTTCCACCGTTGTGTGCCAGCAGAAGATCTACATAATTACTGTACTCACGCGACAGTTTTTGCAGGACACGCCGTGTATATGCACGTACACTTACAGAAAGATAGTACGTGCAGTAACGACGAGTAGGTACACCAGCTACACTAGGCTACCATATTTCATAGGGGCGACTGATAGGGCGACTTTATCTAGCGCGACGCGCTGCAAAATTATTTCCGCTTCGTCGAGACACGCGGCAGACACGTCTGGCTCGATGACGCCTTCTTTAATATACTTTAATTTTTAATTTGTCCGCACCACGTCACGAGTGGAATGAAAAGCGAACGAGTTACGCACGTACGATCGAATCACAATCCGATAAGATCAGTGAAAAACATTTGAAACACTTGTATAATACTTTTGAAAACTTTCTGCGAATATGTTACACGTGTAATACAAAATATTTTTGAGAAGAGAACTTGCAATATTCCCTCATTTTTTGAGTATATATTTAAATATAACTCGGGCGAAACAAAGAATATTAAATTATTTTTAAAAAATTTATTACATCTTAGTAACCTCTATCCGGTGATATCGTATGGATAAGTTCAATAAGAAAGCGACGAATTGTTGTATACGTATTTGGTCACTCGTTATGGTCCGCGAACCAGTTGCCAGCGCGAGGAATTAATGAAGTTGAAACGTTTCGCACAACGGACATCGTCAAAATTCATAAAAATTTTCTACGGTAAGTGTTCGAATACTCTCGCAGTTTGAATACAGGTAATTTATGGGGTAAAGTTATATATGTATTTATAGGAGGGAGAAACGAACATTTGAAAAATATACGTGTTAGTAAAAAAAAAGTG